GATTTTTGGTCATTTCGATTCAATGAAAGTTAAGTTTCCGCGTTTAAGTTTTCTTGTCATTTAACATTAATGCAATTTCGATTTCCAAGTTATTTATATTTTCTGCACATTTGATTTACTGTCATTTATACTTCCTGTTATTTACATTTCTACTGTTTCGATTCCCTGTCTTTTATACTTAAAGCAAATTTAAGATTTCCGCATGTTACGTTTCTTTGCAATCTAATGTTTCAGCACTGCTTTTCGATTTCACGAATTTTCTGCTTTCTTTACTTCGAGCACTTTAAATATAAAACACCAAAAATAGTATCTTTGAAATCGGGCAAAATTTGATCCTCGTACGCATCTCGATTGAAAATTAATTTATTAATCTAAATAAAAAGAACTTACGTAATAAAATTTTGATTAAGATCAAAATATCTTAAGAGTCAAAATTCACCGGAAACAACACCATAAGGAACTTATAGGATATCAAAGAGAAAAATGCATAAAGCCAATAACCATAGGCCCACCGCATACTTATAAGATATGGACACAAAAATTGAAGAGTCGTAAACCCCCCCCCCCCCACCATTCGATCCACTACAACACGAAAGAAGTCCCCTACTGACAAACATCACATCAATCCCCATCATTAGACTTCTCAGATTTTCCACCACTACGTTTCCTCGAACTTGGGGGCATGTACTATAAGTGTACCACAAGTATATATAGTAAGGACACAACCACAAATATTATAGACATACGACGCTTGTCGTGGACACAACCTGCACCAAGGACACTGTGTAAAGATGGAATGTGAACACACAGTAATATGCAGAAACGGAGTGATCACACTACAAAATACGCACATACGAATGTGAACAACCCATATACGATATTATAAAGGGTTTGTTTGGTTGGAGTGATTTGAGAGAGTGGAATTGAGAGAGTGGAAAAGGAGGGATTTGAAGAGAAATGGAGATGATTGAAAAGTGAAAGGAAAGTTTATGGGAAATTGTGAATGATTTGATTGATATGAGATATAAAAATTATAATTTTATGTTTATTATTTAAGAAAAGTTTATGGGAAATTGTGAATGTTTATTATAAAAATTATAACACTCAAGCATAAAATGTTCGTCATTTAGGTTCATGCCGACTAACATGTCCCATATATCTGACTCCGAATGTTGAAATGTTGATGATCGTCTCATCACATTAACTTGCTCATTAATTAATTCATTTCTGCGTTCAATGGCGATCACCTGTCTTTCAGCTATGTCAGATAATCGTTGGGTGATTGTATTACCTTGCCCGAGGTAATCTGTAAATGTGTCCAGCCTCGATGTTAGTTTTTCAAATTGACCTTCCATCACATCAACCATAGGCGCTTTTCTTTTTGTGCCCCGAGATGAAGAGGTTCCACCTGAACCAGTAGACGCAGCAGATGGAATTGAGTGAGCACCCTCAGCAGGACTATCGGAACCCATGCGTGGAGGTGATCGATAAGCTGTATCAAATCCTGCATCAAAGCCAAAGTGAAATGGCTGCTCCTCTGGTGTGGGGTCCACATCAACGTTCAAGTCGACTGTTGCCCTTCGGAGAACTGATATTCATTCGGGCCTTAAAGTACATTACCTTAAAGTATGGGTAAAATCGGTTGTTGCTTAATATATACGGACACACATCCCTTCCTGATGGTTGAACAATTAGATAGCGGTTCACCTAAAACCGCTATTACAAGTTATATTTCGCTTGAGCGACACTAAACTCGCTCGAGCGAAGACACCTGCACATAATTTTCATCCTCGGGTTGTTTTTCGCTTGAGCGAAACTGATCTCGCTCGAGCGACTAGCAAAGATCTCAGTGATTTGATGAAGTCAAAGATAAAGTCAAAAGTCAACTCTGCAACAGTCAAACAAGTCACTCAGAAGAATGGAGTTGTCTTAACAGAAAGCTTAGGTAAAGCGAATTTCAATCGATTAAAATGACTTGAAAATTTTTGTACAGAGTTTAAATCGATTAAAACGCATTTCAATCGATTAAAATGACTTACAAAAAATTCTGTGCAGGTTTTTAATCGATTAAAACTTCTTTGTATCAGTTAAAATAACTTGAAAAGTGTTATAAGAAAGTTTTAAACTGAATCAATCGATTAAACCGCGAATCAATCGATTAAATCACTCTTAGAAAATGTTTGTAAAAAGTTTTTAACTGATAAAAACTTGGTCGTATCAGCTAAAACAATTCTGTTAAAGAACAAGAACGCATTAATGGGTTGAAAGGACTTTTAACACATTATAACGGCTATTTCAACAGATTAAAACAAACTTTCAACAGATTAATTAATGCAGCTTTTTCTAAAAACTCTTTTATAAACAGAATTGCTTGGAACTTTTATCATATCAGTTTTTAAAAAAACAAAGCAATCAATTTATTGCCTTTGCCCCCACGCCAGCTTGCTCTCTAATCCCACTGCTGATTGGATTGAACTGAAAAAAGCGGAGCTTAGGTAGGCTACAGCAACTCTCAAAGCGTGAGCTCATAAGCCGTATTTCGCTCGAGCGACTATATCTCGCTCGAGCGAAATACGATCCTGATCGATCATAAGTTGAAATGATCGATCATAATTGGAGGATATAATAGTGGTTCCTCTGTAACCGCTATCTAAAGTGTATATTAGATAGCGGTTAAGGTTTAACCGCTATTATAAGCTCCTTTTAAGAACCTTGTTGCGTCTGGGGTTGTGTTTCGCTTGAGCGACTATATCTCGCTCGAGCGAAATTTGATTCTGATCGATCATAACGTGAAATGATCGATCATAATTGGAGGATATAATAGCGGTTCCTCTGTAACCGCTATCTAAAGTGTATATTAGATAGCGGTTAAGGTTTAACCGCTATTATAAGCTCCTTTTAAGAACCTTGTTGCGTCTGGGGTTGTGTTTCGCTTGAGCGACTATATCTCGCTCGAGCGAAATTTGATTCTGATCGATCATAACGTGAAATGATCGATCATAATTGGAGGATATAATAGCGGTTCCTCTGTAACCGCTATCTAAAGTGTATATTAGATAGCGGTTAAGGTTTAACCGCTATTATAAGCTCCTTTTAACAACCTTGTTGCGTCTGGGATTGTGTGTCGCTTGAGCGACTATATCTCGCTCAAGCGAAATTTAATATAATAGCGGTTCCTTTGTAACCGCTATCTAAAGTGTATATTAGATAGCGGTTAAGGCTTAACCGCTATTAGAACTGCTGTTATAATAGCGGTTAGGCTTTAACCGCTATCATATATTGCAGGGTAACTGCGACTTTTCATTACTTTCATCTCTTTTCTTCGCACCTCAGCGAAGAAACTCTCTCTCTCATCTCCCCTTTTTCCTCGCCTGCATTTCGTCGCAAATCAGTTCAACCAAACGTGTGTGAATGTCGTGTTTCCGTCTTCGTGAATAGTATTTCGTCGCAAATCAATTCAACCAAACACAGCGAAATAGATAAATGGTCGAAGGTATGAATCTAATCTTGAACTTACACTACAACTCCCTCTCCCTCATTCACTTACTAACTTGAATGTTTGAGCGACTTTTGAAGGAACACCGCTCGCATCCCGACACTGTCTGATAAAAACGACACCTACCATATGCCCACCCCATTCAATTAGAAGAAAAAGTAAGTAAATATAGAATCTTGCCATGTAAGAACAATTAATATTATTTTTTATTTCTTAAAATTGAGGATTTAAATATCTTAATTGTAAACACAGTCATCATTGTATTTTAATTATTATTTTTTTCAATAAAAGGATTATCTTCAAATTTTTTTAATATATTTCTGAAAAAGAAAATAGCACCCTCCATTTTAATGCGTATATTTTATTTACTTTCCAAATTTCTCCGTTAATAATAAAAATTGTGTGCGTGAGAGAGAAAAAGAATTATAATTGGCGTAGAATATGAAATTTGACTATCTTTAACCGAAGTGGTCCCAACTTGTGGTGCGTCACTGGAGACATCATAATTTGAAGATGAAGGGAATAAAACGTACATCCACGGACGTGGAATATACTCACTTTAATAAATAAAAAATTATATAAATAATATACCAAATATGCATCTAAAACTTAATCTAATAACTCGTTTATAATATAATAATTATCATTAAAATTAAATTTAACGTGAATTATTCCTCACTCTCATTTGCTCAATCTATTATTTCCATTTCTAATTTTCGAACTTATTAATATGTAAAACGTATTATTCCTTAATACGAGTTTTTTACGGTGGAATTACATTCCGAATTGAGAAATTGGGAAATTGATCAAATAGAAAAGAAAAGAATCCAGAAAGAAGAAGTTAAAACTCAACTAACCTTTCATGTTGGATTTGATTGAGTAAACACAAAAGCATCTTAAAAATCATAATTAAGCTTGATTTGATGGATTAATTACAAGTTCCACTACTTAATAAGAAGATTAATTCGTTTTCTCAAATCAATATCAACCATCAAACCGAGTTAATTAAATTTAAGTCCCACCTATTTTTACTGTAGAACATATAATCACACTGATTTAACCTGCTTAATATCATGGCCCAAGCCCAATAACAAATTCAACAATGGCGTCCGCCCAGCAGAAGCGGCCCATAATTGAAGTCTCAATTCACAGCATGTCCGTTCACTCCACCCTAGGTTTGTTACACTGTCATATTTTCTTTTCTCTACACTGGACGAACACAACCGCGAAGCTTTACTTGCTTTGGTACTTCCATTTCGTAGTCTCGTTCCAAAATCTACGCTATGCTATGATTGTGTGTTTCTTTTTGCCCATTTTTATTTTCTTATTTTTATTTATCCCTTTTACCTTTGGAATAAAGACAATCTTTCTCAATATACCAATATAGGAAAAAGAATTTTCAAAAGATTTATCAAGATAAGGGAAATGTTATTGGAAGATCTGTTGATTGATTCGTAGATATTGTGTTTGCTTTGCAGAATAGAGCTTGGGACTGAGGAAGGTAATGTTTGGGACGGCGATTAGATGTTTGGCGAAGAAACCGAAGCCGAAGATGGGGCCCGTGGTCGTTAAAACGCCGCCGGAGCAGAGGCAAACGATCACGAGAACCCTTTTCGACATCATTAAGGAGCATGGTCCAATCACCGTCGCTAACACCTGGGAACGCATCAAGGTACCTTGGTTTCTCTTTCACCCACTTCAATTTCATTCTTATCATCATATACATGATAGAATCATACTCATTTTCTTCAGTTTTTAGGAGATTTCATGGTTTTTTTAAGACTTAATTGCACTTTTAGTGTCTCAGCTCTTAGTCCTCCAACTACCAATTGGTTGAAAATGTATGAATTTAAAAGTTGTAAATTGTGTCAGTTGTTGCAATTGTGTGATTTTAGTCTGCGGAAATGGCATAAGTAAATCGGCAATTAACATTTGATCGAAAAATTACAATTCTACAATTGTAATATTTTTGGGATTCACCGGACACAATTGCCATATCTAGGATATACTATTGACACCACTAGAACAGGAGAGACTAAGATCGCAAAGTTGCGATAACTTGATATTTAATTGGCATAGTTGGATCCTGAGAGACTAAAATCGTGTTGCAGTAACATAGGACCGAAAGTGCAATAAAGTCTTTTGTTAAGCATTCTGAGATATAGTATAATGTTTTTCAAACAGTTAATGAAAACGTAACGTACAGGTAATGTCTGGATAATGTTTTTCGAACAATTAAGGAAGATAGTGTAAGTATAGGAAAAAAAAACAGATTTTCGTGCTAGCTGACCAGATTATAGGAGATATTAGTGTAATTTACTTTCTTGATATAAACTTGATTGATGATGGTGGATTTTAGGAAGTTGGATTGAAAGATTTGACAAGCAAGAATCACATGAAAATAATGCTGAGATGGATGAGAGAGAGGCAGAAGGTTCGTCTCGTTTGCAACCACGTTGGGGCTCATAAACAGTTTCTCTACACCACTTGGTTTACCAAGCCAGCTACCCCTCCTAAGAATCCTTCTTGAAACTTTATTATCAGTTTGATGCTGATCTGTACCTTGTCAAGAGTAATAATTTCGTTTTAGAACCATTAATTTATAGAGAATCTAAATGTTTTGGCCTTATTTTTCATTGTTTCTTCTTCTCCTTCTTCTTCTTTACTTTGTTATTTCTGTCACTGATGCTCGTGGGATATCCAGAGGAGGAATGAATGGTAGTAAAACTTAATGATTCAAAACTTTCAAGAGTTAACAAACTGGTTTGATGGTCCGGTAAACTTTCTAACAGTGAAAGAAGGTGTCAGCTAGTTTACGAAAGGATCTGGGATTAAATGTAACTCTTATATTTTTTAGAAGGAGTAGTTTTTTTTTTTTTTTTTTTTTTTTTTGTGTTTCTGGCTGGATGAATATTTCTTTAGGGGTAGTTTAGTTTGACCCTTGTTGTATGTTTTTGAACATGTTTTTTACCGATTCAGAAGTTTCTTATATCAATCATCTAAAAAGTTAACTAGCATCTAAAAGAACTAGAGATTTGCACTGTCAAGCATGTCCTTGAATTAGAAAATTTTGCACAAGAACATATAACTAACACCTGCATCACCTTCAAACACATGCTTTAGATGAAAATTTGATTTAGGATCAGATGCTCTATTTCTGAAAAGACATGGTTACTAGAAATAAACAACACAGATGCTTCAAGTTGTTTCATTGTCACAAGAATTGATTTTTGCTGTTTGGTATTGGAAATTAGAGACATTTTTATTTTCTTTGTCTCCCTCAATGATTTGCTCCCAATACCTCGCAATGTTCTACCAGTATGAACTTCAACAGAGGTAGCATTCTCGAGACAGGCAGAGAAGATAGCGTCTTGCTTTGGACAATTGCAACAGTGTAGTTCATGCCTTATGTCAGGTAAAATTGGCTAACCTCAGGGACTTATAACCACTTGCTACTTATTGGCCGTTGATTGGAAATCTTCAAAAGATGGAAATTTTCTGTAATTCTGGAGGCGTTCTCAATATTTAACAGACACTAACATATTGAATCCTGGAAAAACTTACTAATCATGAAATCTGGTACAAATACAAAATGAGAAAACATTTCTCATGTGATTAAATATAATTAATTATCGGCATGCTTGTAAGATAGATAAAATTTAGAATGGTGATAGGAACGGTTAGCTTCTCAATTGTGCATTAAATTATTGATAATATATATATATATATATATATATATATATATATATGTGCAAAATGATTTATGATTTAGTAATCTCAAGTCGATACATAAGAAGAAAATGAAAATATTTAAACAGGTAATTTGTTAGGAATTCGCTTGTTATATTAATTATTTTTACTTTTAAATTATATTTTTTAATTATTGTTAAGATATAAGCTTTATTATGTGATACTGCTAAAGTTACTCAATTGTTTGACTAAAATATAGTTTGTATATTAATTTTATTTTCAAATATCATTTTTTCTTAACTAAATAACCATGAAGTCCATATTTATAACTATCTTTGTTCATAAGTAATCTTTTAGCAATTAAATTAAAAAAAATTATACATATAAATAACAATTTATTTACAATTTATATAGTTTTTAAATATCCTTTAAAGTAACTATTTTTTAAAATTAAAAATGAGTTTTAATATAATATCTAATGTGGTTATTATTGTATTTATATATTTAAAAAATATTTAATAATGAAAAATGTTTGTAAAACATTTAATATTTAATCATAATGATGTTACAAATTTATATAATTATTAATTTTAATTATTTTTTAAATATCCATTAAAGTCACTATTTTTTTAAATTAAAAATGAATTTTAATATAATATCTAATGTGGTTATTATAGTATTTATATATTTAAAAAAATATTTAATAATGAAAAATGTTTGTGAAACATTTAATATTTAAACATAATGATGTTACAAAATAAAAATTTTGATAACCGCAAAAAAAAAAAACTTCAACTTTCCTTTACTTAAAAAATTATTTTTTTACAGTCAATATATACAATTATTGATTGTAAATATAAGAAAGGTAAGGATATGTGAACATAGTATTCACAATATTAAAATGAATACTTACAGTATTAGAAAATTTCTAATTTTTTTTTTAATTTTATAATTTGTATAAATACTACTTTACTTTCTTGTTTGAAGAAAAAACATAATATAGATATAATTTGAATATCCATAATGAATGAAATAAGATTTCACGATCTATAGTCGTAAGAAATAAAATTCAATAGAATATATAAAAAGAATAAAAAATATATTAAATATTTAGATTCTTTATATTTCATTAAATAAAATTTCCTATTGATGAGTACAATAGACAATTCAAAGATAACTTAAATGATAATGCTAATGTACAGTCAATAATGATTTATAATATATAATATATTATTTTAGATAATATTTGTTTTTTTTTTAATTTAAATGTAATTTATATTTAATATGTTACTAAATATTTTAAAACTTTATATATATATATATATATATATATAATAATAATAATAAATACTAAATAAAAATATAAAAAATCATTTTTAATAGTATTGAATGAGCTTACCATTTTGTTAACTATAATAAAAATATAATATTTTCTAGTTAAGATATTAATCATTTATATTTAATTATCTTCACATGTTTAAATGGTAACATACCACTTGATCAAGTTTTAGTGGCTTAGTTCAAACTGCTACATATTTAAATTTCGGGTTATGATTTTTAAACATGACAAAAAAAAAAAATCCAATTCAGTTTTAGTTATATATTTTTTCCTTGAACTAACCCGCTTTAGAGACTTTTTGAGAGTTCACTTGACATTATTGTAATGAAGAATCAAAGGAATAGTTTGGTAATCCTCGTTTGATGTTATCCCTAAAGTCTTTGCTATAATTAGTGTGATCATCCATTTGTGGCAATTGTAGAGCATCCACGAACACTGCAAAAGAAAGGCAACTTGGATTTGCTCAGAAAAATTCCTTCACTTGTCACTGGTGCAAGAGGAAAGGTCACACACAACAAACGACAATGTCCAAGTTTAATCAAATCAAGGTATCTTAAAGGCAAACATAACCCTTATATATCTTACTAACTTTTGTTTTTATTTTACTGTGTTAAACCAAGTGTTTACACGTGATGCTTTTTAGGACTTATATTATCAATAGTAAATTTTTAGTCGAAGGAGTGTTCTGTTGTCCACTGAGATTTTTTACAAACAGTATTTTTGTCACTGCTTTACATTTATAACTTCTCGGAAGATGTCAAGATTGTTGCTTCACAATGGTTACGCTTACTTTATTTATTATGTTATAATAAGATACAACATCACTACTTTCAGTTTGTTGCATTTGTAGATAATCTCATAGAACTCTAAACTTATTTTCAGTTTTTTATGATTTTATTTTGCCCCAGATGAATTTGGTTTTTGTTGAAATGTTTCTTCTGTTTTTTTGCAAAGCTACTAGGTCTGTGTATACTTAATATGAATATAATATTTAACAGCAACACTAGTCTTTGAGTACAAACTCTATCTGGTACTCAGAGTCTTTCTATTAGGACTCTGATTTTTAAAAATTCTGGCATAAGTTGAAGCATTTTGGCCATTTCTACAGTTCTGTAGTATCAAATAGAACTTCACAAAAGCCAGTGAAGTTACATATATTATGAAATTTACAGTTGATAATCAATGCATGCATGACTTGGTTTTATTCTTTTAGAAGCAAAACCTAGATTCTTGAATAATCACGTGAACTCTTGTACTTTATATCTGGCATGAAAATCATGTAAAACATCAAACATCAGTAATCATTGAGTTAATGTGATCCTTCTAAAATAAATCAAATTGCAAAAGTAATTATAGATCAGGAGTTTTTTTTATCACAATGCTCAAGTTAAGTCACATCATCGGCTAATAATGAGAAACATGCAGTTGGTAATAAACTTCTCACACACATAATCTGGAATCACAATTTACAGGAATTTTATTTTCTTGGGTTAATCTCCCACACTTGTGTTGGGCTATCGCCTTCTTCTTTCTTTTTTTTGGGACATGAATACTGTATTCAACCTCAATTTTCTTATGTATCCTTCAAACTTCTTTTACACATGCACAAAAAGAACTTCGTTAGAAAAAAAAAAAAAAACTCTGCTTCTGCTTTCTTCCTAACTTCCATTGCTAATATGGTTTTATTATCAATTACCAGAACCCCATTCTGTACAATCAAGTCTTGGCAACCTCATCATCTTTAAGTGATTTCAGAAGCACATTGTCTGTCTACACTCAAAATTTAAACATTATTTCCGAAAGAAAATAAAGTGTTCTAGAAGGAACTGTGACAAGGAGTTAAAATTGTATATATTGTCTAACTTCTTCAAAGCCTTTTTTTTTTATTTGCTGACATTTTTCCTATATTCGTATAATAGTTTGTACGAAATCATTTTTGTATAAATATACGATATTGTGAGTTAAACAATTTGTAAACAAGAATTCTTAGTAGAATGGAATTGACTAGGTTGGTTAAAATTGAAGTAAATTGAACTCGTATAAAAAGATTAGTCGAGATGCTTATATGAAAAGCATTGGAGATGCTTTTTAAAAAATTGTACATAACCTGTTTTAAAAAGAAAAGCAAATGAGAGGAAAGCTTAGAGTTATGCTGACAATTTCATACGTGGTTGCAGCTTTTAAAAGTATCCTTGAATTTGATTAATGAAAGTAATGTACAAACAGAACAGAACAGCATGTAAGGCAGTTTCTCCATATTCTGATTGTCGATTCCAGCAGAGGTCCACTGACCATTTGATCATTTCCTATAACATGAAGCATTAAAAAGTGTAGTTTCAAATCCAACAAGTATAGCCCCACCATAAACGTAGACTTGCATGGTATTCATCACTTGCTCATTTGCATACAATACAGTAATGCCCTCTCTCTTTGAAGGTGGGGGATTTAAAATTGATTTCAGCCTTTAATTGAATGAATTCTTTACTAACCAGTAAAAACTGGTCAGAAATAGAGTTACAATCAGGCAATCTGTCCTGGTCTCTCTCACGAGTTACAGCGAAGAAACTTTACCGAACAAGCAACCACTAAATCTGAAAGTCTACTAGACAAATGTTACAAAATAAAATTTCACCTTCTAAAACATCCGTGGTTAATGTCTCATTGGCCTCTAACCAAGTGTGACTTAGTGTACAGTTAAATCTAAAATACTGTGGGAAGAATGCTAAAGCACAACCCAAATAATTGTTTCACTATTCCATAACCTACAAAGGGTTTGGTTCTGTAGCAGCATGAAGAAGCTCATCTGGAGTTGCAGCCGGATCCAGGTCCCAACACCTTTCTGGCAAATTCTTAGCCTCTCCTTTCAGCAACCAAGAAGGCACTTGATGTGAAAAGCGTAACATCTCTCTTCTGGGTATCCATTTTATGGCACTCTTGTCGCTATTACTCTGATATACCGTTTTAAATCCAGCCAACTTAACAAGGGGACTAACACATACACCAAGTTCCTCAGAGTAATCGTCCAGCACCTCAACCATTTCATACTGATGCCTCACTTCATCTGGAGTAGATCTGTTCCAATCTGGTGACCAATTGCGATACACAGCCCAAATATCTCCACTTCTGGGATATATGCGGACGCAACCCCCTCGACCAGCCTTCTCCTGACTTAGAACATGGGAAAATATGTTAACATGATCAACAACATCTGAATTAAAAGCCCTGAAATTGCCACAAGATTTGGTAAAACCTGAGTCAAGCCAGTTTACTGAGCCAAACTCGGTATCAGTTTTAGAACTCAAGTAACTGATGTGAATCTTAAATGGATTGACAGACACAACCTCACGTATCATACAATACAACCGTGGCATTCCATCTTCCTCATCATACAAGGCCCATATTTGCTTTGGTCTGAAGCATTCCTCTGACCTATCTTTATCAAAGTCGTGAAAGTCAGAATCTGGGACAGTAATTGAGATTGGACCAGTTTTCCCATGTAGACCAGAAACATTGGGGGCTGTTTTTCTGCATGTCTCTATTTTTACTTGACCAACTTCAGCTTGTGATTTTTCTTTCTCTTTCAGAGCTGCGGTCGCTGCTGCTTCAGTCGACAGCTTCATCTCCTCCAGTTTTTTCCTGATTTCTGTCCTGGCTTTCTCAATCAATAATTTTCTCGCATCAAATGCCGGTGCCATGGAACACTGTTTGATTTGAACTTCAACTGTGCAGGAAGGCTTCTGGCCATATGCAGTGCTATCATTTCCATTAGACACTATAGACTCTAGAGCACATTTTGATCCCTTTTCTTCATAGTCATTTCTGAAAGTGCCTCCCACAACAACTTTCTGTTTCTTGTCAGGTCTACCTAGTTTATCTTCCTGTGGTTCACTACAGGAGAATGGTATATCTGAATTTGTATTGACCATAGCCTCTACCATGTGATGCCTCTTATCAGCAACTGATTTGATTTTTGGTCTTCCCCTCTTCACATTTCCATTGGCCCGATTGACAGAATCCGCAGATAAGGTAGCTGATCCATTTTGATTGACAACTCCAGCAGAGCCCCACTGAAATGAAACATTTGGAACGTAATCGTATCCATGTCCAGAATGGTATCCAGCAACACCATTCCCATTGAAATAGGGGGCGGTAGTTGGAACATATGAGACACCATCAAATGAATGACTTCCATACCCATTTCCTGCCACATATGACCAAGGACAGTATGGAAATGAACCATTTGCTGGGGCTGCCCCAGTCTCAACAGCAACAAAAGTGCCACGGCAGTTCTTACAAGAGAGTCTTTTGTTGACGTACTTGCGCAGATACTCATACTGAACCTTACAAGAGGTGCAGATCGTCCAAAAAGTGTCAAGCCTACCACGAGGGGTTGACAAATTGGAACATTTGTTATAACCTGCAGCCCCTGTGGCATGGGCAGAAGACAAATTCGTCTGGTTAGTCCCGCCCAACTGAGCATTTCTCTTGAGATCATACGAACTGCGCATGGCGCTATCTGATAGCCAAGTCCAAGCCTCAGAAACAAGCTTAAATGCCTCGTCAGCTCCCACACACTTGTTCTTATCTGGGTGAAGCAATACCGCCAACTTCTTGTATTGTTTCTTTACAGTCTCCTTATCTGCAAAAGGTTTTAATCCAAGAATCGAATAGTAATCTAGCTCACCATTATGTTTGACCTCAGAAGCAGTGTAAACTTCAAATGTAGCCACCATTTGAGATATACCCTCCAGTCCTGGACAAAGTGTTTTAGCCTTTACAGCATAGTTTTTTGCACCTGCAAAGTCCCTCGCAGCAAATCGCTTTTCAGCAATCTCAATCGCTTTAAGTGCTTCCTCCTTGTTTGCTTCCATGTAGAAACAAAAACTCACTTCACGACTGAACTCTTGAAACAGAAACTACGACCCGCCCAACATCTTTTCCAATATCATGCATAACCTCGTTTCCATGTCTGCTAACAGTTTTGAAACAATAAGAACAAGTAAGTAATTTTAATCATAAAACTCAAAAAACTTCCATCTGAGAGATCCAAGAACACCAACTCATAAACATTCTAATAAAATTAAACAGACACAAACGCCAACATTAATACAGAACTAATAAGAGAAACCATGCACAGCCCATCCCATACGCCCAAAATTTGAAGTAAAAGAAACAGATCGTGACATTTAACTACACAATATTCAATTCTACACATAAAACTCACGCAAGATTAAACTTTACTTTCCTAAATCTTTCAATTTCAAAATCAATATAACATTTATCAAACAGAAGAGAGAGGGAGAGGTGACCCATCTTTCAATCAGCACCCAATTCAGCTAAATTTGACAAAACCTAAAACTTTCAGAGAGATCGAAAACCTAAAACAAAAAACCCCAAAATATTTACTCATAATTTATTCGAAACAAAACCCCAGATGCGAAAAAGAAGGCACACCAATTTTAATAATAATAACAAAAAAAGAACTAACTGAGATTGGAGTGGTAATGGGGTGTTGAAGAAGAGCCAGATCGCCACGTGCAGTTTGGAATTGGAGCAAAATTGAGTGTGAATCTCGCTTGCTGTGCGAAAAACAGGAAAACACAAAACCCGATTTGTATGGACACTGTAGTGCGTGGTAAATGGTAAAGGTGAAGCCTTTGCTACAGAGAAACAAAAACTAGGAGGAAAAGGTTCGGGTGGCTCTCGGATCCAAAGTGGGTCCGATTTGGCGCAAGGTGGGCGGCGATGAATAGGAGCTTCCGACAATCGCCGATCAGAAGGAGAAAGTAGCAAATAAAATAGGAATTAATATAAATAAAATGATGATAATTTTCTGAGCAAGTAAACGCTGTTATTACTGAGGTTGTTGGAACAAGCTAACGTGCACCATAGGTGCGTAATCACTAATGACTGCATAGCAAATTTATTATTTTTTTCCTTTTTTTAGAAAAATCTAGTAGTATTTTTCTTTATTTTATGATTTTTTTAATTTTTTTTATTGTTGTTTAAATATATTTTGCGGGGGTTAGAAGTTAGAGATTGTGTTCTATAGTTGGTGAGAGGTTGGATGATGATTTGGGGAATTATCAGTGATGGGCATGGGGCATCTTGTGGAGATGCTCCACATACATTCATCATTTTATTTTTCAAAAAATAATATTTTTTTCATCCAATAAAAATATATAACTAATAGAAGATATTATAAAATGATTAAAAAAAACCCACTAGTCTAGTGACGCGTGATTTAAGCAATTTATATTTAATATTAAATTCAAACTTGATTGCCAATTTGCCACTATTGTAGACTTTTAAGTATACAATTTAATTGATTACCATCAAATACATATTTATGAATAAATGTAATAATTAAAAATTAGGTGAGTTTTGTATCTACTTTTATCTTACTAACCTAAACTTCTTCATTTTTTTTTTGTGCACTAAATTTTCTTTATTTGTTCTGTTTTTGGATACAACATTTTGTGCAACTGAACTTGAGTGTTTTTTCAGGTTGAGTTGGGACATTGAATTGATGTTGTCAATGTCAAAGAACTTGGACTTTAAAACATTTATTTGGGCCAACGTGGAAGGCCCAGTGACATTGGTCGCTGAAAGTTACAACCAATTTAATGTAATCATGGGCTAAAAATAAAATTAATGTAGTACAGAATCAATAGGACAACAGTTGAATTGAATCTTGAAAAATCTGGTTGTGCCAAAAATTGAAGTGGTTGGATTAGAGGCACACTTTGAGTCAATGATCACGGTCACATGTTTGTTTGTCCACTGGGTTGATTTTGCTTGCTCTGTCTCCATCAATAAGAAGGACACTTTGTTTTTCTTTTTCGTATTCTTGAGTGTTTCTCACTCACACTCTGAAAAATAATGTCATACTGTGCTCTGAATTTACCATTAACCAACCAAGAGAGGGAAGTTTGATTCTGACAGTTTCGAAATTTTGTTGCATTAGAGTTACTTTTCAGTGGAAAAATTTTCACCTTCTTCTTCCTCTGTTCTATTGTAGGAATATGATTATCTGCTCTCGGCATAAAAGAAAACACATGGAAAAGTATATAATTCCATCAACTAAAAGAAAAATAAAATTCAAATTAATATTGAAATTTGAATCCTTGTTTCTCCTCAGAACACTTCTCTCAATGAAATAAGTAATGTTTTTATTTTATTTAATTGTATACATATTTCATCGGATTCATTACTCCAATGACAAAAAAAAAAAAGAGAGAGATTAATTAATTATCAAATAAAAGTCTCAATGTTTATATATATAAATGGTGTTTTTACTTTGTCAATTATAATTTCATACTTTGATTTTGATGTTCATTTCCTCTTAAAGAAAACTAAATGCGTGTAAGTTTTTCAACTGAATCTTGCTTAGGCTTGAAGGAATTAATTTCATTAGAGGAATTATTGACTTTTAGATAGTTATGGGAATAACTCAATGAGCACATTTAAAATTTCACTTCTTACATTAATTTTAATTTGACTTAGACTTATTTAATTAATAAAATGCTATAAGAACATTTGAAAACTTATGTAACAAAAAATAGTAGGATTTAAGCTATTTAGAATATTTTTTAGATAGTCAATTTATATATAAATAGATGTGAATGATAATATATAATACTAATATGTTTGGGAAAAAGTTAAGATTCGTTAACCCACTTTGCTGCATGTATGTTTGTTTATATATTATAAAAACCCTGCTAAAGAACAAGCTTTTAAATGTTACCCTTTATTTAAATATTAGGCTAAACTTTTCTAAAATTTATACCAACACTCCAAAAAGGACTTATATCTCATGCTCTTTGATTTCAAAATTTTAAAGTTCAACTGTTCACTTCAATTCTAAGGCAAAATTAAAGTTTTTATTAAGACATAAATGAACCATATTTCTAAAAAGTTGTATCTATTGCATTAATTTAATAACTGATTGATATATTGGGAACAAATTCTTACAACAACAACACACAAGAGTAATATGCCACAAAGAAAAGAGGAGCTGAGAAGCAAGAAGCCCAGAACAACCATGGAAAGGAAAAAATGGGAAAGGTTTAATGAAATAAAATTTAATAAAAATGAGACGAAATTAATTAAAAGGTTTATTATAATAAACTAGTTAAACTAAGGAAATGTTGGTGAACAAATTAAATTAAATTGAGTGATTTTAAAATGAAGAAGCTAGTTGAATACATATAAATATATAAAAGATAAGGAATTAGGGAATAATCCATGCTTATTACAAGTTTTTTTTTTGTTGATATGTCCTAAGTTCAACTATAATATGAGAAAATTAAGAGATTAGAATAAACAAAGAAATTGGTGATATTTTTAATTTGGTGTATAATAATAATAATATTAATAATACCGAAGGATGAGAAAAATGAGATCAGACGTTGATGGTGTTGCAGAGGAACATGAGGGACGATGTGGACGCGTCGCTGGCGATCCTTCCATTTCCGAGTCTCTCGTAGCTGTCAATGCAGAAGAGCGAGAGGGAGAGCTGCACCTCGTGCCGAGTCCACGCTCGCCTTCTCACTCTCTCGGACTCTCCGAGTCGACTCAGCACCGGTCGCACGCACACCATGTAAAGGCGCTTGTAGCCGCCCAGGGCCACCACGACTGCACGCACCGACGCCGTGGAGACGTGGCGGAAGCAGAGGTGCTCCCAGAGGGAGTCGTCGTTGCGCGTGAGGCTGCACCACAGACGACACACGCACGCCGCCACGCCCAGCGAGGGACCGTCGAGTCGTTTCAGGATTTCCCGAAGAATGTCAATGTTGTCGTTTATGAAGAACCGAGACCGTTTCTCTTGTTCTCCCCGGTGCTGCTCCTGCACCATTCTTCACACACACAGACACAGTGAGAGAGAGAAAGAGATTTTTATCTAGCTAGCTAGTGGAAGAGGACGGGGTGGGTTCAAGAAGTAAGTGTGGCATGTGAAAGGTGAAGCAATATAGGTGTGGGACACAAACGTTAGATTTCTTCGAATAATCATAAACTTTGTAAATAAAAATGATAGTTTTGTAAGGTGGGGTTTTAGCAGTGAAAAGAAAAATGTATTTTGACTTTGGGGAAGCAATGAATGAATAAACGTGAAGCTGTGAAGGGTGAGGCCGTTTTCATTTGTTACTACGTTGGATTGTTGTTTGTTGTTGTGGTTGGACTTGTTGTGTGCATGTAGAGAGAGAAGGTTGTGTTGTGTTGTGTTGTTGTGAGTATCGAGGGGAGAGAAGGGGCCAAAAGAAAGGTCCAAAGCAAAGAACTGGAACCAATGCGGTGCTTTTTTCCTCTTGTTGCTTTTCTATATAGGTTTCGGGTTGAGCAGATTTGGTGTTTGTTGTTTTTGTTGTTGTTTGCATTCTTTCCAATACCTTGTATCCATTGAGTACCGTTGTGGATCAGAGAGAGGAGAAAAATAGTTCTCTCTACCTTTCAATTTTTCCTATTCTTCCTCCTCCTCCTGCTGTTGCATGAATAGTCACACACTCTATGCAGACATTTTCTGGTGTTTTGTGAACCAAACTTTGGACCATTTTTCATTTTCAAAAGTTTTTATGAGAGGTTAAAGTCAAGTACCCAAGTGTGAATTTTAGGCTTCCTACCTTTCTATGGGGCCATCCCTGTTCCATCACCACTCTCTCATCTGTCTCTTCACCCTATAACTCTATTCATGGACTACCTATATACACTACACCTCTTCAATATGTTTTAGTACGTTTGATTTCATGGTAGAAATAATAAACGTTTGGATATACACATACTACAGTTTATAAGTATAAAAACATTCAAACATAAATTATCAGTCTATGTATGATTTCTAAAGGAACTATCATTAAAATAATACATGTTCTCTTTTTATTACCAATAAATGTTTTGTGCGGTAGAAAAGTGTTAGACTACATTTTTTCTTCTTCTTTATGAGTTGAAAATATAATGAAAAGAAGTACACGGCAAATTTCATTATTGTTTACTATTATTAGAATATACACCACTGCAAAATGGGACAAGACACTGCAACGCATGTGTATCATACAAATAAACATTACTAGCTGGCAAGTGCTGATAAGGTTGAAAACTTTACATTTTAAACGATACATAACTAAGTACAATATCAAGCATGAGTTGACGCTCTCTATGTCTAAGATCACAGATTGCATCAGATAACATTGTTTCCTTTTCCAAGGCTCCAAGCAAAACTTTGGATTCCATCAGTTTTCAAGATTTGGTTAAATTATCTTTTTTAATTTGACTTATACCATCAACTGATTCCACCAAATATCATTGATGGACTAGTGTAGTTTATTAAAAAAATACAATAGTTTAAATTGCTTAGAAGAACTAAGAAAGATGCTGCATCAACTTGAAAGACAATAAGATGACGGAGTTTGATTTCCCATTGCAATCGAGTTGCACAGTGCATTTGGGGAAGCAGAAGTAGAAAGAAATTTTTGGTGATGAAAGGTCTGGTTTGAAAAAAATGAGGTGAATTTGAATAGCAACAAAGAAAAAGTTTGTTTGAGATGATGGCGAGGGGAACGAGTATTGAAATGTCTCACGGGGTTGGATTTACTCCCACAAAGGCAAAGCACCAAGTCCTTTGAGACAGAAAGCATAAAATATAATATCATCTTGTTAAGGGGGCTTGAATTTGACATTTGATTTATTAACTAGGGTTTCTGTGGAGAGAGAGGACCCCACCACACTGCAATTTAGAGAGAGTGTGTCATAAGGGTTTGTTTGTATTAGGTTGGACTTGTTCGTTGGACACACTCGAGGGAACCACTGTTCCCTATTCTTGCTCTTAGCAACTCGATAACTGCAAAACTACAACAAGGAGATGGCCCTAAACTTTGCAACCAAAAATTTCACCATTTCTTTTCATCTCCCCCCAACAACTATCCTTTGTACTTTGTTCTTGTAAACTTGTGCCCACATACTAATTGGTCAACTAGCTACTTAAGTTGGTGTGTATATATATCAGGGATTCTACCGTTGTCATCACCATACGTCAACATATACATCCACACCACACTTCAATTATAGACCCAATTATCTGTCAACTGTGGTCCACTGTTAATCTCATTAGACATACTTTCATCTTTCAACTTACCTTGTGTTTTTCTGGTTTCTTCTTTACACAAACACAACATATACTGCAAATTAATTTAATAGGCTGAGATTTCTATGTCTAATCATACAAATTTTTAATGGTAATAACGAAAAATCATGTGATGCTTATTAAAATACAAAGGAAGGGTCAAAATGGTGAGAGAAAGCAAAAACAGAGAAGGTACTGTCAAAGTGAAGTGCATCTCATCTCACCAAATTTTTTATTCATATAATTTAAAGAGTTTTATATACATAGTGTGCAGTTCTTTATACTGTTAATTGATTAAAACTAAAGTAATTAATTATTATAAAGTCAACTATTCCCTTTCATATGTCAAGCAATAATTGTGAACTTTATTTCAATTAAAAAATATTACATTTTTTGTTATATTTGATGGGATTTTTTTTAATATAAAAATAATTGAGAAGTTTGGAAGACAAAAATAATTTAAAACATACTTTTAAAATTGCTAAACTAACAACTTTTAGAAAAATAAAACTACCAATATAGATTAGGTGTAGCTTTTATTTATACTAAATGCCAAAAACATTTATGACCGTCCAGAATTACCAGAAATTATTATCATAGAATGTCAAAAACACTAGTTTAGTAACTTCAAAATCAAAGTACACTAACCTGGTAAAAGACAAAAAACCAAAGATCGCCACTGGATATCATGCCTAATTTGCTCAAAAGTACGTCCAATTGGGTATCTCTCCTCGTGTAGTACTCTGTTTATTTTTTTCTGTGTCTAAGAGAAAAAGTGTTGTGGTGATTAATTAATAATGGTGTATGAAGAATAGCATTATCCTACGTTATGTAATTAACTTAGTGTAATGTCATATTAATGATCTGTGATCTCCGAATTAGCACAAGTATGTTGTGATAAAAGCTTTAAACAACATCCACATAAGAAACAAACAAGGAAGTAAAAGGTAAACAGAAAGATGGAGGGGGAAAGCAAACAATGCAACGCTATCTCCTAACTACTCTCTTAGCTAGAAGTGGGTAACTGTGGAATCTGATCTTTATTTTCAAAGTTTTAGTAAATATGGGTTGTGTTTTTCTTCTTGTGTCTTTGCTTTTGCATGGGATTGGGGACTAATTTATTGCTCATTATTCCTTATATCAAGGGATCAAAGCAAGAAACTTCCTCAATCTTGACACTAAAATCCTAACTTGGGTCAGTGAGAGGCTCTGACAAGAATCTCTAAAACAATGGTGTTAGGCATAAAAACAAATGACTATGTGGCTCAGAGGATGCCAACAAGCAATAGCAAGCACAAGGGTAGAAGTTACTATTAGTGGATCCAAAATTAAACTTTGTTAACCATAAAATTATGTCATTAATTAGTGTTACATTTAATAGAGGGTCACACGGTTAAACCTGAACAGGATAAGCATTCCCAAGCTGTTTAAAAGGTCAGAGTCAAACTTGTTTTCATTACATACTTTACAGATTTTTGTGGCAGTTTTAACTTTAGGCCCCAACGTTGATGAAGATGGCGGAAAGTAGACAAATAACTTGTTGTGTGAATAAACACTGCAGCATCAGAAGGGGCAGTGGCAGGACGTTACTTGGTGAATAAAAAATGTGTAGGTGATAAGCAAGGGCTGATGCATCATGCTAGTCCATCATGAAAATCATATTGTCATTGTTAAGCTTTTAATATAAAATTAATTGTAAAAATTAACTAATAATATATAGAATAGTCTAACATATATTTAAATATTTAAATTATATTAGATGATGACACAGACGATATAGAATTTCTAACAATCATGGGTATTTTAACCCAAATACTCTTAGTCTAAGATAATAATCGAAAAAATATTAAGATTTTAATATAATTACTTTGTCATATATTTAAATCATTACATTATGTAACATGTATTTAAATCATGACTATGTAGAACTTCTAGTAGATACGAATTAACTCGAGGGAACTAGTTCTCGGAAATGTATCAAACTCAATAAATTTTTAGATTCAAAATCTTTACTGAGTTACTAACAGTGAGGTCGAACTCATGTACATATCCAATATAAGTTGATTCTTTGATTTAGTTACTTTTCAGTTGAATTGCACAAAATTTGTTGTTAAAACACAGACATATTAAATATCTTTGTAACATTATCAGGAGATCCAATTCTTAGGAAACATGATTTTCTCTTGTCAAAGAAGAAACATGATTTGCAAGAATGAAAATATATTTTCTGTACAAATGAAAAAACTCTTGAGCAGTAACAAATTATCCGTAAAATTTCCAGGACCAGAACAAAATGAATTTTTACTGTTAAGTTAGTCATGATTAGCAATTACACCTTTTTGTTTCTCATTCTGTAATTGAATTAGAAAAGTCAAGGTAATTGAACAGTGTCTGAGTGAAGAGACAGTGAGAAAGACATTAGGGTAATGGACTTTGGAGGCATTACAATTTGGGCCCTATGAAGAGCCCACAGGCTCTGAATACGTGTGAACCGTGGGCCAGCGCCAGCATGGGAGTTGCTGAGACAGCACGTGTGGACCTGTTGGAGTTCTACACTGTAACGGGAGAGTGAGGATATAGAAGTAGTGAAGGAACGAACTAGTTGTGAGTGATTGAGTGCAGAAGAAACTTACCTAAAATGGGATTAAGAATTGGTGGTTCCTCCTATTCAACATTTTCTCTGCAACGTTCGCTTCTTCCTCCATTGACAACAGTAACCACTTTCACACGTGACTGGAGGAGAAGGAGGAGTACCTGCATACGATGTTTTTCGGTATCTTATCACAAGTTTGTTGACTTTGCTTTGGATGAAACCAGACGCCACACTCACTTGACCTCTTCGCCTTTGCAGGTTTATTTTTTTATTATTATGTTATTTTCTTGCGGAGATCGTGTTGAAATTATGATGGTTTGTTAGGGTTGGTTTCATTCTGTTTTAAGCCAATGTGGGTTTTCTAGTTTGTAGCTTTTTAAAACTTTAATTGAAGTGCAAGTGAGTAGATTGTTCCAATTATGATGTAGGATGAGTTTCCAGTTGCAGAAAACTTGAACGGAATTTAGGAACTGATCGGTAGATGTGTTGGAATGGATAAAACATGGTATATGGACTGTAAAATTGAAGCAAAGGAAGGGACGTTTTGGTTCAATGAAATGTGTGAAAACTAGGAGAACTGAACAAAATAGAACATTTCATTCTGCTTTGAACGTATACCCAGTGCTACCTTACTGGTGCATTTGTACATAACATAACCAATATAAGGTGAAAGAAGAGAAAAAGAAATTGAATTAACTGCTCTAAAAACAAGTCTACGGGTTAGTGCTCAAAATGCAGAGACTGTTACCATACTTAGGATGGCATTGTGCAGCTGAAGTGGAGTTAATGAGCATGCTTCAAGATATGGTGATTTGTAATTTGAGCCCATCTCTTATTTTCCAGGATTTTTTGTTTGATTATCCTCCCCTCTTATTTTCGTATCTCGAGCATGTTTTTGAGGGCATTCATGCTTGAGTAGATTTTTATTTAGTTGGCTTCCCAAAGGTTACCATGCTGAAAATTGCTTATTAGAATAGGGGAATGTTAACTTCAAAAGTAAAAATTATAACCTTTAAAACTGCAAGACTTCAATCAGTTGCAGTATCAATTTTTTTTTATTGCAGAACTCAGTACACAATTCCATGTTTGACAGTGATAGATTGCAAGTGTTGCAGCTTTCTTAATTGGTAACTGATAAACCCAACAATACATGAATATGTATGCCAAAAAACTACAAAAAGTTTCAAACACACTCATTGATCTTGTTACCGCCGGACATAAATGAAGTAAACAATCACGTCGGCTTGGTCAATATTTAGTAATCATCTTCCATTTAATTTGGAAGAATATTTGAGATGAAAAAGAGTTTTATTATGATTAAGTGTCATATCAAGTCCTCATGTTTTAAATTTGTGTTACCTTTTAGAGGATGTGGTGCCCTGTTCCAATCATCAACTTTATGCTTCTGATACTAGAACAATGTGTAATACATTATGTAGTTTTTCTACGTTCTTAATTCATTATGGAAAACTACTCTACAAGATCTTTAGATTATTGATTTTCACAATATAACATACATCAGTACATGAATCATAGTAAGAAGACTAACCTTGATCCATGAGAATCTATTATTTAATCTTTTCGTTCTCCAATCTCCTTTTCTCAATCTATCTCTATGTCTTTCTTTCTCTTCTCACGCTTTTTTGATGGTTTACCGTGAAAAAAACCTTATGACCAAAGATAGAACCCTTATTCCATTTTATTAACCAACGTCTATCAAGTTGATTACCGTAAGTTAATATTTTATGTTATCTTTATTTTATTCTAACTTCACATAATAACCAATAGGTCCTCATATTTTATTAAATTACATTTGGGCTCATCATTATATTTCACATGAGTCACGTAATGGAATGAATTAATTAAATTAATTCTAACATTCTCCCACTTGACTCATGTGATGTCATACGATTTTGTGATTTAATACTTAATCATAATGCGCATTAAAGGACCTTACATAAATTGGTTCTATCATTATTCATAATTAAAGATACAGCTATAACAAGAGTCATGGCGGTTACATGTCATTCAATCGACAAGCTTCCTTCCATGTACCACTATATTATCTCTTTCTCCTTAATATGACTTTATAATGAGAAATCCATAATGTGTTCAAACATAATATCATTTTAATAATAATAACATAATTTGTTTTCTTCATCATAATTTGCATGCATATAAATAAAGAAGAAAACACAAATTTTAGAAATTTATACATTAAAGATCTTAGAGTGTCACATAAACATTAATAATAACATTAACATTCAACATTCACTATTAGTCAACATAATGCCCATATTTACTATATGGCCAGCAAACAACTTGAGCGGTAATCCTTTTATTAAAGGATCAACAATCATAAGATCACTGCTAATATGTTCTATTGACACTCTGTTTCTGAACTTCTTCTTTAATTACAAAGTATTTCAATTCCATATGCTTAGCACCTTTGGAATACTTGTCGTTCTTAGAAAAGAAGACTGCTGCGGAATTGTCACAATAAATTTTCAGCGGCTTGGCAATGTTGTCAACTACTCCAAGTCCTGAAATAAAATTCTGTAACCAATTAGCTTGCACTGTGGCCTCAAAGCATGCCACAAATTCAGCTTCCATGGTGGATGCAGCAATGACAGACTGTTTCGCACTTTTCCATGAAATCGCTCCTCCGGCTAAAAGATACACATAACCAAATGTAGGCTTTCGTGTATCCATACAACCAGCAAAATCTGAATCTGTATATCCAATCACCTCAAGGTGATCAACTTTCCTATAAGTAAGCATGTGATTCTTTGTTCCTTGTAAGTATCTTAAGACTTTCTTTGCAGCCTTCCAATGATCCAATCCAGGATTACTCTGGTATCTACCCAGCATACCAACTGCAAAGCTAATATCTGGCCTCATACATGTTTGAGCATCCATCATCAAACTTCCAACAATAGATGCATAAGGGATATTTTCCATCTGTTTTCGTTCTAAGTCATTCTTTGGACATTGCATGAGACTAAATTTGTCTCCTTTTTGTATTGGAACGGGAGATGCTGAACAATTCTCTATTCTAAATCTCTCAAAAACTTTATTAATATATGTTTTCTGAGACAAACCTAACAGTCCTTGTGATCTATCACGGAATATTTCTATTCCTATCACATAGTATGCCTCACCCATATCTTTCATTTCAAAGTTGTTAGAGAGAAACTTCTTAGTCTCACTTAATAGACTAAGATCATTAGTCGCAATCAAGATATCATCAACATACAGAATCAGAAATATAAACTTGCTCCCACTGACCTTCAGATATATGCACTGATCAACAGTGTTTTCCTTAAATCCAAAGGATAAAATAGTATCATTGAACTTAAGATACCATTGTCGAGAAACTTGTTTAAGTCCATATATTGATTTCTTAAGTTTACACACCATATTTTCCTTTCCTTCTTCAATAAACCCCACTGGTTGATTCATATAAATATCCTTCTCTAAATCTCCACATTTCGTGAAGCTTCACTCCCACTGGTTTCACCATTTTTAATAAATCGAGCATTTTCAGTTTCAACAATTCTTGTACTATGGGTAGGACAGTAAAACATATACCCTTTTGATTTTTCTGGATAACTAATGAAATATCCACTGATTGTTCTTGCATCGAGCTTCTTTTCTTGAATTCTTACTTTCTTTGTGTGTTTTGTTTGTTTGCCTTTAATACAATTCACACATACATTTAGATGAGTAAAATCTAAATCTGGAAAGATTTCATTCTTTTCCTACATTCTTCTTCTTGACTGTCGTGTGGTTCTACAACATTTGGAACAACAATTCTTGAAGAAGATGTACTAATTACAAGGACTTGTACTCTAACTTCCTTAATCTCCAATAGATCCTCATATTTTATTAAATCACATTTGGGCCCATCATTATATTTCACATGAGTCACATAATGGAATGAATTAATTAAATTAATTCTAACATTTTTTATCATTTCCATGTTTCTTAACAACTTTCTTTTTAGCTCCTTGATTTTTCACGTAATGAATAGAGTGGCTTCCTAGGTTCTTGGGTCTGGTCTCCTCCTGTACTAACATACTGTGCAATTCATTTCATGGTGTTATAGTTCATCTGGAACGGACCATACTCAGGCGGTAACGAGTTCAAAATGAACTGCACAAGAAAATTGTCTTCCACTGCCATTCCTAGAGACTTGAGTCTTGCTGCGATATTTGTCATTTCGACTACGTGTTCATGCATACTACGAGAACCATCAAACTTCATGGTGATCAACGTACTCATCAATGTCCCAGCGAGGGATTTGTCAGCAGTTTGAGAGCGCTCTTCCACAAATTTCATAAACTCTTTCGCATCCTCAGTTTTGGGAAGAGCAGACTTAATATTGCTTGTTATACTCATTCGCATAAATATAAGGCTAAGTCTGTTTGATCTTTCCCAAGCTCTATAATGAGTTTTCTCTTCATTACTACTAGCATCAGTGATAACAATCGGTTTTTCAACTTGGAAAGCCAAATCAAAATCCAACTCACCTAAGTGAAATTGGACTTTCTCACTCCAGTCAGGGAATTTAATCTATTAAAGACCGGAACAAACGAAGTAAGCGAATGTAGAAATATATAAACAAATACTTCAATTAACACATGTCTAACATTAACGCTTCGATTCATAAAAACTAAACATAAATACAGATTCAAATATAAATAACCATTTTATGCATACTAATGTTCTCCTTTGGGAGATCTACTAATACACAAACATAATTACGCTAATCTTTTTATAATATTAATGATTATTAAAATATGCATCAACTAGAATCACCTAACACCTTTGGGTATATAAATAAAACTAGTGACGCACACAAAATTATCTACTTTCATGTTCATTAATTATAATAACAACTAATCAACCTTTGGGTGATCCTGAAATGTCTTATAATAATGAACTTCAATTAACCCATAAATCATTATTCATAATTTTAGCATTCATACTATGGGTAGTTGAAATAAAATCATTAATAATTTGAAATCAAAATAACCTTAAAATTTTGGCCACTTTGGTGACTAACAAAATTTATCATGCTTAATTTCAAATAAATAACATCTTTAATTGCTATTACCCATTCATAGTATTTTTTTATTAATTTTAATAAATATGTACATTATTCACATAATAAAATATTATGTGTCATAAATAAAATTGAAACTCATAATTTCAATTTTCATCCTAAGATTGATTTTCAATCCAAGACCTTTATTTGCATTTCACGTAAAAGTGAAATTGTCATCCATTCAAAACTTTTATGAGTAATTTAAACACAGCGGAAACAATACAATTCAGTTTGCAAAACAAAATTCATTCATTTATCAATGTTTACATTATAGGTACATTAACAAAGTTTCACAGTACATTAACAAAGTTTCACAGTACATTAACAAAGTTTCACAGTACCCTTAACAAAGTTTCACAGTACCCTTAACAAAGCTTCATAGTACCCATTACAGTACCCTTAACAAAGGGTCACAGTACCCATTACAGTACCCATTACAGTACCCTTAACAAAGCTTACAGTACCTATAACAAAGCTTATGGTACCCTTAACAAAGATTACAGTACCCTTAACAAAGATTACAGTACCCTTAACAAAGCTTACAGTACCCTTAACAAAGCTTACAGTACCCTTAACAAAGCTTACAATACCCTTAACAAAGCTTACAGTATGAGTATATTATACAACTCACCTTAACATAAAAATAACTCTTTAATTGTACCCATAACAAAGCTTATGGTACCCTTAACAAAGGGTTACAGTACCCTTAACAAAGGGTTACAGTACCCTTAACAACGCTTACAGTACCCTTAACAAAGCTTACACTACCCTTAACAAAGCTTACACTACCCTTAACAAAGCTTACAATATGAGTATATTATACAATTCACCTTAACATAAAAATAACTCTTTAATTATCCTTCACCCACATAAAAAAAATGTACGTACAAAATAATGTACAAATAATATGGGGACAAAATAATATAGGGGAAACATGACTTCAGCAGTCACAAGTCACCAATATATACATACAAAATAATATTATAAATAATATAATATATGAAACCTGTGTGTTTAACACGTGCTCTCTACGCACAAAGTTTATCAACTTTACAGTTTACCATCCTTCCATCATAATTATAACATAATTATAACATCTCATCATAATTATAACATCCCATCATAATTATAACGTACAATGAAACTAATTTCATACATGATTCACCCTAAACCCTATCACGTCATTTTCCTTTTCAATTAAAATCAATTACGGGGTCATTCATGCATAGGGGCTATAAAATTGGTTTCAATTTGAACTTGAAAACATAATTAGGGTTTATTCCTTTATTTAATTTTGAGAAAAATAAATTTGGGAATAAAGTAGGGTTCATACTAATCTGATAGAGAAATCCCTAAATTCATAATCAGGGTTTATCTTAATTTGAGAAACACTTAATATTTGGGAAAACTTTCATACAAGGAAAATCATAAATCTAATAATCAGTGATCTGATACCACATGTAATACATTATGTAGTTTTCCTACATTTTTAATTCATTATAGAAAACTACTCTACAGGATCTTTAGATTATTGATTTTCACACTATAACATTCATAAGTATATGAATCATAGTAAGAAGACTAACCTATGAGAATCTATTCTTTCATCTTTTCGTTCTCCAATCTCTTTTTCCCAATCTATCTCTATGTCTTTCTTTCTCTTCTCACGCTTTCTTGATGGTTTACCGTGAAAAAAACTTTATGACCAGAGACAACCCTTATTCCATTTTATTAACTAACGTCCATCAAGTTGGTTACCATAAGTTAATATTTTATTTTATCTTTATTTTATTCTAACATCACATAATAACCAATAGGTCCTCATATTTTATTAAATCACATTTGGGCCCATCATTATATGAGTCACATAATGGAATGAATTAATTAAATTAATTCTAACACAATGTCTCTAAGCATGAACTATTTCTTCATTGAATAAGTCACGAACTCTTGTTTTCTTTTTATTTATTTGTTTAATTTTCCATATCATTTATATTTTATTTGTGTATTAAATTTAGTTTAATTGAACCCATGATTATTTTTGCTTATTTTTAGTTGTGGCTTTTCTCCCTAGTTGTTCCCTAGTCCTCTGTGTTGTTTGCTTAATTTATTCTTGACCATTATTTGTGCACATAGATATTTATTGTACATTTTTGTATGTTGTCTTGCTAGGAAAAGTTCAGTTTCATGAATTCTAAGGATGGTAAAGGAAGGCTTAGTATGATATCATTTCAAGGTGCCAAAATTAGGCTTCTACGAAGTTTGATCATCGAGACAGAAACAATGCAGGTGTTTATTTATAATGCCCATCACATATCAATTTGATAGCTTAACTAAAACTCCGTTAGTTACAGTTAGTTATCCCGACTTCAGTTATCTTTCTATTATAGTTAGTTTACTAGCATAGTAAGCTCATCTTTGTGTAGTTGTAAATATCTGAAGCTCTGTAGTCCCTCATCCAAAGTGCAATCAATTTCTCTCCCTACTTTGTTATTCTAATATGGTATATAGAGCATGAAACAATAGCATCTCTAACCCTCAACCAGTTTTCTCCTCCTCCTCCATCAATGGTGACAGCTACCTTTTCTCACTGAATTGCGAAAAAGCTTGAATAAAATATTTATCTCCTATGGTGTCAACGAATGAATTTCTCCTCATGTGGCTCCAACTTCAATGTCTAGAGAAATGCTCACTTGTGTTTTATTTGCACACCAATGCGAAAGCGCATCAACTCCTCACTTGATATTCGAGCTATGACTCTTCAAATCTCTTTGCTTCTGTATAACTTCTCGGAATTCAAGTGCTGGTTGATGTGTTAACCACTATCAGGGAATATGTTTCTACCAAAGAACAACTTGATATTATCATTGAAGGATTACTAGTGGAGTTTGAGTCTATTGTTTTGCGGATTAGTAGTAAATTTTGATCCCTTTAATACTGATGAAAGGAAACACTCCTTGCACATGAACTGCAAATTGAACAACTCAAGGAGCAAACTCTAGCCTCAATCAATCTAAATACTTAATATGCCAATCTTTCATTCGATTCTAATCACAGAAATGGCACCTTCGAAGGTTGTGCTGTTTGGGGTGTCTGTGGTGGTTGTTATGGCACATGCAGTGAGTGAGGGCATGATCACTATTCTAACATTCAGTACCAAGTTTGTCACCACTATGCTCATGAATGTTCTATTTGCTGTCCTCTCTTTGAAGAAAATTATGTTCCTGTTGTACCTCTAGATTTTCCCACTTTTCCTACCAGGTAAAAATGCAATCTCCCTATAATAAAGGATATTACACTTCACCCATTGTTCCTGCAGTCTATACATTTGTTCTTCCCTCGTCCACCTTTTTCAATACTTTTGGCATGCCTGTTACTAACCTCGGTGTTTTTCCTCCTGCATGCCCTCCTTTGATGCAGTCTAGTTATCTTAATCCACCTCTGATGCAATCTGGTTCTCTTAATTCACCTCTTCAAGCAATGCTCACAAGCACTAATGTTCTCACCTTGTCACCCATGTTTCACTGAATATCCATCAACTTACTCCTTTTGAAGGACTAAACCAAATGACCATAGGCAATGACCAAACATTAATTCTACAGGTCTGACTGCCTTTCCTTTACTCCTTAATTCAATAATATATCTTACTCTTGATAATCTACTTTATGTTCATAGTATCACAAAAAATATAGTAAGTGCTAGTCAGCTTCGTCAAGATAATCCTGTTTATTTTGAATTTCATCTCGCTTTCTGTTTTATTAAATAATAGGGGTACCAATGAGGTGCTCCTTAAAGGTCTTGTGGTGTAAATGGGCTCTATCACCTTCCCACCTTTTATCACCTCGCTGCAATCTCAACTCTTCATGCTATGTTTCTACCACTTTCACTCTTCTCCTATTGCATGCACTGGCTCCTGTAGTTTAATTTCCTTTAATACTTTAGCGTTCCAGATCAGGTTATCCCAATATTGATGCTCAAAGAATTGTATTTAAGCTCTAATTTTCCTTTTTGTCTATAAAATTTTCTCTGACTTTTCTTCCTCTTGTTGTTTTAGCTCATCAACATCGCTCTCCCCTACTACCCATTCTAACCCATTATAAACCTTTTGAAGTGATCTATAGTGACTTGTGGGGCCTTGTGCCAATACTGACTAATTATGGTCTCTCTTACTACATATCGTTTGTTGATGCTCACACCCGTTTTCCTTGAACGTACTTACTAAAAATATCCAAGTCTAATGCACTAACCGAGTTCAAGCAATTTCAAGTTATTGCTGAAAGGCAATTTCAACTTCCTACCAAAGCACTTCAAACAGATTGGGGACGCAAGTCATGTGAACTAGAAGCTGCTTTGTAATTCTATTCCAGTGATTCAAGAAAAAAATTGACATGTGTTAGGTTCTGTGGCAGAAAGAACCTATGGTTCCACGCAACTCACGTCTCTCCTCTTACACACACAGGAAACAAAAACTCACAAGTACTTTATTATTGCTTTTATGAACAATACTCTGATTACAATCAACAGCTTCCCCTCACAGGATGGAATGATCCTGTTAGTGAACTAACTTCCCAAAAAATATATCCTCCCCCTCTCCCCCATCAAACACTATATATAGTCTTATTTACAAACTATGCTCTGCCACCTATAACTAACTCTAAGTTAGTTATTATTTAATTTTTTCCTCCTAACATATACTTTCCAATTCCTAACATTACCCCCTCCTGGCCCAACAACCTTGTCCTCAAGGTTGAAATCAGGAAATTGATATTGCATGGTAGTTTTGTCCTCCCATGTTGCTGCATCAGGTCCTCCATTCTGCCATTGCACTAAAACCTGCTGTACAGACTCCTCCTATCCTTGCTGATGTATGCATCTCTTGTCAAGAATCTTGTAAGGTAGACAAACTGTAGTCTGACCCTGTAAAGCTTCTGGTAGGTCTTGTTCAACAGGATGAGAACCTACTGCTTTCTTTAGTTGGGAAACATGGAACACCGGGTGTATCCGCGCAGTGTCAGGGAGTTGGAGGTAAAAAGCAACCTGGCCAATTTGTCGCAGAACTAAAAAGGGACCATAGTACTTGGCTGAAAGCTTCGGATGTAATCTAGTTGGCATGGACACTTGGCGATGAGGACGAATTTTTAAGAACACATAATCCCCTACGCGAATAGATGAAGGTTTTCTGTGCTTGTTTGCAAACTTAGTCATTTGCTGTTGAGCCCGAGTCAAATGGTACTTAAATTGCCGTATTGCTTCATCTCTCGCCAACAAATCTTGGGCTACTGCCTCTATTGCTGTTTCTCCTGGGACAAAGCGGTGTAAGGAGGGTGGTGACCTACCATAAACCACTTCAAAAGGGGTGGTTTTTACTGCTCCCTGGTAGCTAGTATTATACCAATACTCAGCCCAGGGTATAAACTGAGACCACACCTTAGGTTGTTCAGAGCTAAAGCACCTTAGGTATGTTTCCAAGGTCCTATTTAGAACCTCTGTTTGTCCATCCGATTCTGGGTGGTATGCTGTGCTCATGTTGAGCCTAGTGCCCTGTAAATGAAATAGTTCTTTCCAAAATAAACTCAAAAATGTGGGGTCCCTATCACTGACAATAGAAGCTGGTATCCCATGTAACTTAACCACTTCCTTGATGAAAACTTCTGCAATAGTTCTGGCTGTGTAGGGGTGTTTTAAGGGAATAAAATGACCATACTTGCTTAACCTATCCACAACCACCAAGATTGCATCATAACCATTAGATTTGGGTAGGCCCACTATGAAATCCATGCTTATATCCTCCCACACAGCATTAGGAATAGGTAGGGGCTGCAACAGACCTTGAGGCGAAGAGGCCAAGTATTTGTGCTGCTGACACACTAAACACTCAGCCACAAATTCTGTCACCTTCTTCTTCATTCCAATCCAATAAAGTGATTGCCCAATTCTTCTATAGGTCCTATAAACACCCGAGTGGCCCCCTATTGGTGTGATGTGATATTCGGCTAATAGCTTGGGAATCCAGAGGGATGTAGCTGAAATAACCAACCTGCCTTTGTGGTGAAGTCGGCCTTGTTCCAAGGTAAAATAGCCTTGCGAGGCAGGATCCTGACCCAAATCTTGAATAATCTTTTGCAAGACCACATCCTTCTCCACTTCCTCGGTTATTGATTGGAAATCTTGCCAAAAAGGTTTAGATATGGCTCTCAACTCCTTTTCTTCCTTTTTAATTTCTTCCCACTTGCGAGATAGGGCATCAGCCACTTTATTAGAGGACCCAGTCTTGTAAACTATTTCAAACTCATAACCCAGAAGTTTGGCTAGCCAATTCTGCTGGTTCTGAGTTGTAATTCGTTGCTCTAATAAATACCGCAGGCTTCTCTGATCTGTAAAGACAGTGAATTTCTGGCCCAGTAAATACGGTCTCCAATGCTGGATGGCTAGAACCAAAGCCATGAGTTCCTTCTCATATATGGATTTTGTGAGAGAGGAATCTGACAGTGCCTTACTGAAGAAAGCTATAGGTTTTCTGTTTTGGGATAATACAGCCCCAACTCCATTCCCAGAGGCATCACATTCTATTGAAAAAGGCTCACTGAAGTTGGGAAGAACTAGCACTGGAGCTGTAGTCATAGCCTGCTTCAGATTCTCCAAAGCTTCCTCACTCTCCCTAGTCCATTCAAAATTTCCTTTCTTCAACAAACTTGTCAAAGGTCGTGCTATCTTACCATAATTCCTGATAAACCTTCTGTAATACCCTGTTAGTCCGAGGAATCCCCTTAGAGCCTTAATGGTTTTTGGTTTGGGCCATTTAGTTATAGTTGTTAACTTCTCCTCATCCATAGCAACTCCCTTAATAGAGATCACATGACCCAAATACTTCACTACTTGTTGGCCAAAAGCACATTTCTTTTTATTAGCATAAAACTGTTGTTGTAACAATTTTCCCAAGACCTGCCTTAAATGTTGAATATGATCCTCCCAAGTCTTGCTATAAATTAATATGTCATCAAAAAACACAAGAACACACTTACGTAACCATTCTTGGAGAACACTATTCATAGCACATTGAAAAGAAGCGGGGGCATTAGTTAGCCCAAAGGGCATAACTAAGAACTCATAATGGCCTTGATGAGTTCTAAATGCTGTCTTAGGAATATCAGCTTCATGCATCCTGATTTGGTGGTAACCTGCTTTCAAATCCACCTTAGAGAAAAATTTGGCTCCATGTAGTTCATCAATTAATTCCTCAATTACTGGAATGGGGAATTAATCTGCAACCGTGGCCTTATTGAGAGCCCTATAGTCAATACAAAATCTCCAACTTCCATCCTTTTTTTTGACTAATATCACTGGGCTGGAGAATGGGCTGTTACTGGGCCTAATGATACCCATCTTCAACATCTCTGCCACCTGTTTTTCTATTTCAGCCTTTAAAAAATGTGGGTACCTATAAGGTCTGACATTGACAGTGTTTTCTCCTTCTTTAATGGGGATTCTATGGTCTATTGGTCGTTGGGGAGGAAGCCCAGAAACATCCTGAAATAACCCACTGAATTCTTCTAAAATACCCTCCAACTCATTTGTCTGTCCAGTGGTTAAAACTATTTCTCCCTTTTTACTGCTGGCCCCACCTGCTGCCATTTCCCAGAGTACAGTTATGGCCTCTATATCTGTCTCCTTTATCAAAGCCTGCGGAGAAATTAATTTTTTGGTAAGGGTAGGGTCACCTCTTATCTCAACTTGTTGTCCTTCCCACTCAAAATTCATGGTTAAAGATTTCCAATTAACTTTCACTTCTCCCAAAGTTGCCAACCATGCTATCCCCAATATCAAATCTACTCCACCTAGCTCAAAAAGGAAAAAGGTTTCCTGCACTTCATAATTACTTAGGCTCACTTTAATATCCTTGCAGCACCCACTAGTTAACTTCTTTTGCCCATCCCCAAGTTTCACACAATAAGGCTTCGTCTCTTCCACTTGCAGACCTAGTTCTGCCACTAAACTTGAAGCAACAAAATTGTGACTAGCCCCACTATCAATCAGGATCAGCACCTTTCTCCCTTTAATCCACCCCGACAGTTTCATGGTGTTTGTTGGTGTTAACCCTCCTGCTGAAAACAAAGAAAGCTCCATCCTTCTATGTTCCATCTCTACTTTTTCTTCGTCCTCTTCTTCCTCTCCAGAACCCTCTTCTTCTTCATCTTCTGCCATGATGATTACTCTTAAATTTTTTTCTGGGCACCTATGACTTGGACTGTAAGGGCCCCCACAATGAAAACACCTTCCTTCATCCCTTCTTCGTATATATTCAGGATATGGCAGATTCTTCACTCCTCTTGTTCCGACCTCCCCTATAGAAGTATTTCCTACCTTGGATCCCCATGAAATATCCCCTGTCCCCTTCCTGGCAGATCGTTATTACTCGGGCACTCCTTGGGAAGAACCAGATCCTTTAAAGGTCTCGGTTCTTGATATCTTGCTCGTTCCTCCTTGATAACGGAATCCAGAAGTTTTGTTCTGGTACATATTTCCTCCTCCTCCACTTGTTTCTTTCATGACATCTTCAACATCTCTTGCTACCTCCATAGCTCTTAACAAATCCTTTGGGTCGTGAGGCCTGATTTGTTTTCGAATTTCAGTTCTTAGTCCTGCCAAAAAATATCCAAGAAGTTGGTTTTCCTCCATAGCTGGGATCTGAGACACTAAAATTTCAAATTCCTGAGTATATTCTTCCACACTTCCTCCTTGTTTAATGGCTGCCAATCTCTCAAAAATTGTACTTCGTTCCTTTCCTCCAAACCTTCTATTCAAAGCCACAGTGAATTCTTCCCAAGAAGGATTCTTGGTTTTTTGTTTCCAAAATCTGAACCAATGATTTGCATTCCCTTCCATGCTGATAAAAGCCAGACGCAATTTCTCTCTTGGGTTGATCTTTTGAATCTCAAAAAAATTTTCCGCCCTTCCAATCCACCCCACAGGGTCAGTTCCTTCAAACACAGGTAGATCCACCCTCTTCACCCACTGTCTCTGCACTACTTCTTCTTCCTCAGAATCTTCTTGCTCCAATCGTCCTCCTATCCCCCCTTGTACCGAATTTTCACTCTTCTCAGATTCTCTGTCACTTTTCTTGAAATTCTTGAGTAAATCTTTTATTTCTTGAATGGCATTTCTTAGCTCAGTATTCACTTTTTCCTGTTCTCCGGTCCACCGTTCAGCCCACCTTTCCAGCACTCCTACTCTTCCCTCCATGGCTCCTTCGAATCCGGCAGGTCGGACCAAATTGTTAGGTTCTGTGGCAAAAAGAACCTATGGTTCCACGCAACTCACGTCTCTCCTCTTACACACACAGGAAACAAAAACTCACAAGTACTTTTATTATTGCTTTTATGAACAATACTCTGATTACAATCAACAGCTTCCCCTCACAGGATGGAATGATCCTGTTAGTGAACTAACTTCCCAAAAAATATATCCTCCCCCTCTCCCCCATCAAACACTATATATAGTCTTATTTACAAACTATGCTCTGCCACCTATAACTAACTCTAAGTTAGTTATTATTTAATTTTTTCCTCCTAACATATACTTTCCAATTCCTAACAACATGTCATTGCTAAAGTGTTCTGCTATCTTTCTGTACAGTCTGTGGAAATTTTTTTTCACAATATGCTCACTGCCTCTCTTTTTTTTATCCTGAACTTATGCAGGTTTTGGATTTTGCTGTCTTTCCTGAAGCAGAATATGATGTCCCCATATTTTGTGCAAACTTTTTCACCTCTGCTAAAACAAATATTGTCGTGTTGTAAGTTAGCATCTTCTTCCACTGTTGCGATCCACTTATATAACGTTCTCTCTCTTTTACTTTTAGTTGTGGGAAAGTCTACTATGTCATGTGGACTTTGTTTTCAATTTTTGAACTTGTTCCTAAACTGCATTTCAGCTTATGGAAATTTATACATTGTAATGCAATATCTTCTCATCCAAGAAGAGTTTAGCACTAATTATGAACACCTGTCTTTGGCTTCATTGCAATGTGAAATTGAAGTGGAATTATTCAGTTTTAATTAAAACATAAAATAGCCTCTGATGTATGTGATATATGCTTTCAAGAGGTACATAACATAGAACTTTTATGTCTTCATCTGGGTGTGATTAATGCATAATTTTTACTGCACCAAACCAGGTGTATCAATTATCAACTAGTCTCAGCAGTAGGTATTTTATTGAACTTGGTAAAAGAAAATACCAAATTTCAATAAGCATAAACTTTCTTGGCTTATCACTTGAAGAGGTTGCCTCATTCGTTTGTATAATAGGTTACTTAAGAAAAAATAAAAGAGAGAAAATAGTTTTTAGAGGGTTTAATAATACCTCTAACATGATATCTTATTTATAATAATAAGAACATATACACTGAGTAGATGGAAGGTTAAGGGGCAAATTGTAAGGTAGAATATATAGGTACGTAGATAGGTACAACTAATTAATAATTCCAACACTTTTCCTTAAGCTGGAGCATACAGATTGTATGTACCAAGTTTGGAACAAATAAATTCAATCCGAGGATCCCTTAATGATTTTGTTAACACATCTGCAAGTTGGTCATTAGATCTAATAAACTCAGTACAAATTTTCTTAGTCACCAACTTCTTCCGAACAAAATGACAGTCAATCTCAATATGTTTTGTTCTCTCATAGAATAATGTATTAGATGCAATGCGAAGTACAACTTGATTATCACAGTACATTTTCATGGTTTGGATCTCACAAAATTTAAGCTCTTGAAGGAATTGTTTCTCTCATACAAGTTCACAATAAGAGATGTCATTGTCTTATATTCAGCTTCAGTAGTTGATCGGGCCACAACATTTTGTTTCTTATTTGTTAGTCCAAGGAAAACACAATACCCTATAGTAGAGCGCCCGTCAGAAGGGGAATCAGTCCAATCAACAATATCACAATATCCAAATATTTGAGTGTTGTTCCTATCTTCATATAACAAACCTTGTCCTAGAGCCTTTTTCAGATAACTCAAGATACGGATGATGACATTCCCATGGTCAATGCAAAGAGTCTGCATGAATTGACTAACAATATCAACTGCAAAAGACAAATCAGGTCTAGAAATGATAAGATAGATAAGTTTTCTAACCAATCTTCTATATCTTTCTGGATCAAAGAATGGTTGACCTTATTCAGTCATTTGTTTTTTATTTAGATCCATAGGACTATCTGCTGCTCTACGGTCAATCATATTTGTGTCTCTTAGAATATCTAATGCATATTTTCTTTGAGATATTACAACACCTTCTTTTGACTAAGCTACTTCAATACCCAAAAAATATTTGAGACTTCTAAGATTTTTGGTTTGAAAATGCTTGCACAAGTGTTCCTTTAATTTCAATATTCTAACAACACCACTTCTTAACTATATCATCAACATATACTATTAAGTAAACACATTTATCAAGAGATGTATGACAGTAAAAAACAGAATGATATGCTTCACTTCGTTTCAACCCAAAAGTTTGCACAATGTGATTAAATTTTCAAGCCAAGCCCGTGGAGATTGTTTAAGATCATAAAGAGAGAGCGGCGTAACTTACAAACCAGAGTCTCCTTGAGCAACAAATTCAGGAGGTTGCTCCATATAGATCTCCTACTCTAGATCGCCATGAAGAAATGCATTTTTGATATCCAACTAAATAAGTGACCAATGACGAATAGCTGTCATAGCAAAAAATAAACGAATAGTAGCCATTTTGACCACTGGAGAAAAAATATCGTTATAATCAAGGCCGTAAATTTGAGTGTATCCTTAAGCAACAAAGCGTGCCTTGAGGCAATCGACTTCACCATTTGATCCAACTTTAATAGCTTAAACCTAACGACATCCCACTGTTTTCTTTCCAGATGGAAGGGGTACCAAGTCCCATGTGTGATTCTGATCAAGAGCCTACATTTCAAAAATCATGGTTTGGCATCATCCAGAGTGATCAAGTGTTTCATTCACATTTTTTAGAATAGTAATAGAAGACAATGATGATATAAAAGAACAATACGAAGGAGACAACTTATGATAGTTAAGAAAATTATGAATGAGATGAGGGTTATGAATAGAGCGAGTACCTTTTTTTATGGTAATGGGTAGGGAATCATCAGGTTGAGGAATTGCAATATGGGGAAATGAGGGAGAAGGATTGCAAGAAGAGGTCTCACCTTGGATCGTCGCACGAATAGTTTGGTTCCGACGGTGGTAAATAAGAAGCGGAGGTGGTGCCGGTTCAGGGAAATGGATGACAAGACCAGGATCATTTGATGCACGAGGGACAATTGACTCAACTAACGGAATAGGTAGAGTCTCCAGGATGGAAGAAACATCTTGAATAGACGAAGGGAAGAAAGGAGTTTGTTCAAAGAAGGTGATACTGATAGACATGTAATATTTCTTTGTTTCAGGAGAGTAACACCGATAACCTTTTTGAAGATGAGAGTAGCCTAAGAAGACACATTTAATAGCTTGGGCATAAGGTTTATCTATTCCTGGGGATAAATTATGAACAAAACATATACAACCAAACACACGAGGAGAGATATGAAATAGAGGTTCTTTGGGAAAGAGAATGAAATAAGGAATCATACTGTTGAGAGAAGAGGATGACATTCTATTAATAAAAAAACAAATAGTTAGAACAGCATCACCCCATTGATGGCCCGGTAGATTGGCATCAAGTAATAGGGTACGAGCAGTCTCAATCAAGTGTCTATTTTTCCTTTTAGCAATACCATTTTATTGAGGAGTGTGTGGACATATGGACTGGTGTAGAATGCCATGCGAATTTAGAACAACAGAGAAATGAGAGAAGAAATACTCTTTGACATTGTCACTTAAAATTTTAATTACTTGACTAAATTGATTTTTATTTCATTCAAGAAGGACACAAAGATTGGTAACAATTTTGAACGATCTTTCATGAGATAAGTCCATATATATCTGAAATATTCATCAATGAAAGTAACAAAATATCTGAAACCAAAAGATGAGACACACCTGGGCCCTTAAATATCAGAATGAATAACAAAAGACAAAATTACATCTTGACTCAAATTTTTTTGGAAAAGATGATCTAACATGTTTGCCTAATTAACATGATTCACATTCAAACATTTGGAGACTACTAAGTTCAGGAACTAATTTTTTAAATTTTGATAGGTTGGGATGACCCAAATGATCATGTAACAGTTTGAGGTTTTGAGATGCAAAACAAGACACAGGTAACTTAGCTCCAAAATAGTATAAACCTCTAGATTCATGTCCTTCTCCAATTAGTCGTCTCGAACCATGTTCCCGTATAACAAAAAATTTGGCATCAAAGATTATTGAACAATTTAAAGACTTGGTTAATTGGCTTAATGAAACAAGATTAAAAAGACAAGAATGGACAAATAAAACAAATTTTAAATTTAAAGAAGGTGAAAGAGAAACTTGATCCACTCCTTTGGAAGGAGCTTTAGAACCATTGGCTAAGGTAATGGAATGAGGATTCTTGGGAAAGAAAAGGGATGAGAACAAGGATGCATTACCAGAGATGTGGTCAAAAGCACCTGAAACAATTATCTATGGATTTTGATTTTTCACATATTGTGAAATGCAAACTGTTGATGGATTGAAACTTGATGATTGTGCTAAGTTATTGGATCTCAACCTAAGATATTCCTGATATTGTTCATCAAAGAACTTGGGCTCAACAACTTCAGTCTTTTAGTGATATTGATTGTCTTATTAGGAAAGTCATGTAATGTGAAACAATTCTCTTGAACGTGACCCATCCTCTTACAATACGCACATTAAGGACACCCTTAGCCACTCCTTCCTCCTCTAGCATTACGTCCTCCTATGCCACATTAGAAATCATGATAGAAGATTTCATAGCCTTTTGGAGGTTCTTGTTTTGGCTTGTAGGAACTCGAAGAAGTCTTGTAGTCAAACTTTTCATGGATGAGAGACTTCATGATCGGTTAATAGTTGATCTCTAAGATGTTCAAAATCTAAATGTATGGCACGAAGAATCATAACCATATAGAATTTATCCAATTTCTTCTTAGCTTCTTCTAAAGACTCATTCTCCAAAAACATCTTAGTTTTTCAACAACAAATTGAGGTTCACTCATGAAAGTCATCATATCATGGTCTGATTGTATAAGAGAGGCAAGTCTATCATAGAGGTGTTGAATATCATTTGCGAAAATAATTTGAGCCTTTTTCCAAAAGGAATGACATGTTCTAAACACTCTAAGAGTTCCCAACAGCTTTAGTTCCACATATTGCCACAATAAGGCATAGAGTTGAAAATCAGTCTGGTTCCATTTTTCGGCTTTATCAGCTGGTACCTTACTCCTATCTTGTACAAGGTGATCATGAAGACCTTGGCGGAGGAACCATAGTTCAACTGAAATAATTTTTTCCATTCAACTTTTCAACGGTAATTGAAGGAGTTCTTAAGAAGGATAACTCATATACAAAGGATATTTTTGGTAATAACAACGTGCAGGCTTTAGGTTTAACTTAGGAAACCTATAAACAAACTTTCAAGCAGGAAAGAAGGACCCAATGATCGGAACAGGGTCAGGGAAGTCCGGTGACAGACAATGGTTGGAGGATGGTGGCGGTCAGAGATAACCATAGACTAGCCAAGCGAGATTAACCTGGTCTGGTACCAACTTAAGATAAAATAAAAGAGAGAAAATAGTTTTTAGAGGACTTAATCACACTTCTAACATGATATCTTATTTATAATGATAAGAACATATATACTGAGTGGATGGAAGGTCAAGGGACAAAATTGTAAGGTAGAGGACATAGGTACAAAGATAGTTACAACTAATTAATAATTCCAACAAGGGTCATGTCTCTTTTATGAATTCCTAATTGAAAACATATCAATGTTACTTTAAGGTAGAAAATTTGTGTTGTTTTACTCTAGCCCTTTGGTTATGCTATTTTTTTTTATGAACCTTGAAGAAGATGTAGTTTAGCCCTAATCAGCATAAGCAGTGACGGATCTTCTTGGGAGCTGAGGGGGGCCAAGTTTTGTAACTCCCATGTAATTTATGATTTTGGCCCCCCCAAACTTAATCAACATGTAATATATTTACTTGTATATTTACAATTTTATCCTTTCAGCCCCTCCTCAGTTTTGTAACTCTCATATAATTTATGATTTTGTCTCTCTCTAACTTAATGATCATTTAATATATTTAAGTATATATTTACAATTTTATCCTTTTACCCTTTCATCTTCTTTCTTCCTTTTATATTTATTTATTATTTATTAATAATATATTATTTGACTCCCCCAAGATCAATGGTCAAGATCCGCCACTGAGCATAAGGAAGGTCATATCTTTGCTTGCAGAGTTGCAGTGCTTGTTTTATAATTGTTATTCTCTTTAGAATGTGGTCTTGTAAATGAAGGATCCTAAAACCTTAGTTCAATAAAAAACCTTAGTTCAATAAATTTTGCTATGATGTAGTATAGCTTTATAATCGAAAGTTATGTCTGAACTTGATGTATACTTTAATTTGATTTTATAAGGGCTTCTGGATGATTGGTTTTGGCTCATCTTGATCCATCTTAAAAAGAACTATCTGGTGAAGCCATTGTAATAAATGAGGAAAAAATGCCTTTCTTGATCTGTAAATACAAACTCAAGGATCTAATGTAGGTTGCACGTCCGCTAAAATTTGCTACCTACTCAACTGTAGAAGAATTCTATAGTGCCCATCCCTTTAGATAATGCACTGTTTACCTTCTTAGGTTGCATTATTCTCGTCAATTTAGGTGTCATATGTCGCATTGTCAGTGCATGCGCTTTACGTAATGGTACTTGGGAGTTGAGACTTGGCCAAAATAACATAATGAGAAAGACCATTCTTTTCCTAGAAATAAAGCATAAAGCAGATCAATGAAAAATCGTTGTGACAGTCTGTAGTGCTCAGTTCTCCCCATTATTATTTACACCTTATACCGTCTTAGAAATTTAATATTTGTTCACCTATATCACTGTTAAGTGATAAATGTTTCCGACTGCTATTTATAGGTTCAAGCATTATTCAAGAACAAATTAGTGTATGTAATGCAGAGTACTGACCTTGAATTAATGATGTCAGGGACCTTAACCCCTTGCATGATATCATCAATCAACATGAGTACAAGGATAAGTACTTTAAAAGCTTAATTCCTCTTGGCCTTAAATATACTGAGGTAACAGCAAATATTTAGGGCAAATTACAACAGTTTTTGGTAGAAGTATTTTCAGTTTTGAAACAGTCAATCACTCAAATGCAGCATAACACGGTGAAAAGTTTTGTTAATAAGAATTGCTTATTGACCTGATTAGCCACATGAGTGATGCATTGTTCTAAAACTGGATATGCTCTTACCACAATTTCTCTGTTTTTTACTTTTCCATTACGAATTGATTCATTAAAGTCCTCATGGATGCATGTATTTTTCTATAAATTATAGAATTCTTTCTTAAAGGAGCTAGTGTATTGACTTAACACAGACTTCATGCAGCTTTTTCCATGGGGAGGGAAGCTCTCAAGTGAGTCTATAAAATTTTTTTCACCAATTGTCATCTGGACAAAGTTTACCTCAAACCCACAAAAATATGATATTCTGTATTCCGCATTTAGGGAGTATTACAAGGTAATAACCCCAGCATCATGATCAACTTTATTACTGATCATTCATATCTTATGAAATATAATATATTTAGTGAACTTGAATATAGTTGACCTTGTACATTTGTAATTTTTTATCTTGATTGTGACGTGGCAGGTATGGTTGGAATTGATATGCAAATCAGTTAAAGAGACAGATGAATCTCAGACTGTGCTCAATATCGAAGCACAACATAGATATTTAACATGGAGAGCTGTGAAGGTAGTTCACATTTGCTAAAACTTTTTGACAGCCAATCATAAATATGATTGGTGATCTGACCACAGGAACACATATAATATATTTGTCCTACGTATAGTTGGTTTTGGGTTTTCTAATTCACCAAGGATCTTCACTCATTTGGCGTCAGTTGAAGATAACTTAGATGATAATAATATGGAAGATGGTTATGCTTATGTTTGATGTCTTCAAAAGAGCTACCTTAATGTTTCTAGAGCAATTTTGAAGTCTATTTTCTACATTCAAATCTTGACAATAAAATTGGCAAACAAGTTTGAAATAAAGTCTTGAAGGTTGAACTAACAACCAAGAGTCAATCAAATTCAGTTGGAACTTGAATTTAGAATGAAAAGTCTATTTCTAATTCAGTTTTACCTTTTAATGGACCTGATTCATGGACATATTTGGAAGTAGGATCCAGGACAAGGTGTATTGAAGAAGTTGATTGGGGATACACTTGCCAAGGTTGGCTAAATTTGTGGTTTAATTTCTTACTGTCTAGTACAACGGATGCTCACTTCCTGTTTTATACTAGGATTTGTTGAGAAGCTTTCTCTTCAATGGAGTTGATGAACTAGGAAGCAAAACATTCAATGATTATTTTCCACACTACTGCACTGAAGAGGGAACGTTAAATAAAAAGAGTAATATTGTTGGGAAGTCCTTTGATAATCGTCCATGGAATGCTAGAGGAGAGTTTCTTGGTAAACCAATTTTGGAATTGGGTTTTATTTATCTAATTACTGTTTTCTTTGCATTTATGTTTCCTGTCTTGTGCTAGCCTGTGTATATCTTATCATTGTGCTGTAGTGATTGTTCTCCTTAACCCTGCCTTTTATTCCTTGATATACTAAAATTGCTTCTGCATATTTATATGTATCTGTATATAATTGTTTATGTGAAGGTCTGAAATGTCAGTGTGATATGAGGTGCAAGAGAAATTAATTGAAACCTGTCGGGTTTAAATTCTATTATTCGTGATTAAGAATGAGATGATTTCAGTAATGAATTCTAATATTAGTACTTACAAGAAAACATTCACAAGCAATACTACATAAGATTAAACAATCATCTGAATTATAATAGTATAGGGGTTGTTTGAATTTTTTTGTTGGACTTAGTTTATTACTTTTATAAGTTTTTTTTTATAATATTTATAGATAATCTCATTAGAATAGTTTTTTTTTACTTAGTTCAATTAATTTTATGAATTTAAACTTATATTCTATTGGAGTTTATTAAATAACTGATCAATAAAAATATTTATCATAAAGTTGTAGTAAGTTTTAAGAATAGGTCTGCAATTATTTGATGTTTGGAATGTTTCAGGTGAATAACTGTTAACTGTAGAAGCTTGTGGGCATGGTAGCAGTCAAAGTTTTGAGGACATGTCACACTAAAAATTCTATTATTGTTCAGCAAACATTCAAAAGACTACTGCAATTATTTTTAGACAACTAAACCATAAATATGCTTGTAACATGCTATAAGATCCTTGTAACATGTATACACCTCTATATTATGTTATGTACCACTATGGTTGATTAGACAACAGGGACAGATATTCCTGTAAGAAATCTCCAACTCAGCATCTATGGTTACAATCTGTTTTTTTTTTTTTGTATTTTATAGGGCAAATGTTCAATTAGTTTTACATTGTATAATATTTACCATTTAGTTTAAACTAAATTGTATACCCTAAACTAATTACCTGATCCAGTCTTTGGAATAAAAAAAATTGGGTTCAGAGTTTCAGTAAATTTTTATAGGGATTTGTATGTGTATTTCGATGATAAAATATTAAATATTCATAATATTTTAATTATAATTATTTAAATTAAAATAAATTTAAAATATTAATTAATAATCTCTTGCTTGTTTTTTTTTTATATAGAATTACACTCTTAGTAATTAATTCAAAATAATTGAAAAAGTTTCTATTCGTATAATTGAGAACTATCAATTAATTTTGTTTTGAAAATTTAAAACTTTTTTTTATATGAAAAATAAGATAATATGAATGAGTAAGATGTAAAGTAAATGTAATATAATAAGAAGCATATAAATAGGAGATAAAAGATAAGGATGATTATTGACTACTTTATAAAAATAGACCATATCAATTTGTTTTAATATAAGAATAGTAAGAAATAAAATAAATGAAAATATAGGAAAAAATAAGTTGAATAAATATAAGAAATATTTCTTAGTTAAATTAAAATAAAGAAAAAATAGTAATTACTCTTCATTCATGTTTATTTTAAAGAGATTTTTAAAATATTTTACTTTTTTATTATTTATTTTTTCATAAAAATATTATATATATATATATATATATATATATATTCATCCATGTTCAAGTTCACCCTTCGTTATTCTCCTTTATTTAATAAAAAAAATTACAGAGAAAATAAATCAATAAAAAATAAAAGAAACTAATGTACTTATAGTTGTAAAAAATTTAAAGTTTGATTGATGACTGGTGAATAATTATTTCAACTCTATTATTCATCTTAAACTAAACACTTTTTTTTATTTTATCAAAACAATATGAAATAATCATACTTCTTATAATATATACATGACAAATTATACAGTATTATAATCTTTTTATAAGTATAAAATTTGAATATATTATATCAACGAATCAAAGTCACATCCAACTAATTTTCCACTACATGTAAAATAACTTCTCTGAACAAACAAACCTTCTAGGTCATGCACAAAACAGTACAGAATAAAAGAATAAATTGGTTTTTCTGTGAGTTCTCAGTTATTTTATATATCAATCTTTCAACTTCTCTTGTTAGATTATTCTACTATTCAATATTTTATTGAGACTGATTTTCACTCGTTTTACTACCAATCTTTTGATAATTCGCTATTGAAGGTCAAGAGAACGAAGAAGAATAAGAAAACAACGGTAGTCAAATAAATAAGAAAAGTTAGTGTAACTTATTAGTTGTTCTGTTTCCCTTATTTTGCCAAAAAAAAAAAAAAAATTCACAGCTTCAGTATCAATATTCATTACCATGGACCCTTTCAATGAATAGTTCATATACAACATATGTTTTGAATTAAAATTTACGAGGTTAAATTTGAAACAACTTTAGGTTTGAAAATTGAATTTGTGAATACAGAAAAGAAAAAGAATCTTGTTTTTACAGAAAATGATTTTTAGGCACAATTTTAACATCCAATCATACTTAGATAGGAGTAACTAAACACGTGAATCTGAATTTACTTTATAAGCTGGATTTGAATGGACCTAGCAGAAAACCGACAAGAACCTTGATAAATTCAACAACTATGTTAAAATTCCAAGAAAACATTAATTTGAAATGTGTGGCATGCATGAGTCATGAAGTGAGTCATTCATTCATCAAGTAGTACCGGTAGAAGAGTCAAAACGACATAATTTGTTTGATATAGAGATGAACAAGTTGGAAAGACATGGTCAGAGTAGTTACATTCCATTTTCAATCCATTTAAGTCATGCGCGTCGAGTCTTTAAAGCTTAAAATTAATTGTGGTAGACAGAGAGAACATCGAAGGTGCCGCCAAGGTTCAGCACCAGCTCCAATATATATATAAAATATACATAATTTTGTGTGAGAATTGATTAGGGCTAGCTATCTACGAAGCTGAGGGATGGATGCAGCAGTAGCATGCAGCAGCTGCTAGCTACGGTCTCAGAAAGAGACAGAAAAACAGACAACAGAAGAAAAGCATCGTCAAACATAGAAGCAGGAGAGACTAGGGACTAGAGAGCAGTCCTAGACTCTACCATCATCTCTGTCCATCTCGCTTTGTCCTTCACTCATTTTTATCATCTATTCAAAATGCCTGATAAACAACTTGTTATTCATTTTTATCATAAGCTTTATTTCTTCCTGCAACTGTTCATACATGTACGACCTCTACATTTTTAGTTCTTTTGCATAACTACAACTCAAATATTTTTTCCTGGACACTTGCACTTGCGGCTTCTTTGCATTTATTTTCACCTACGTAGTGAACAGTATTTGCAATGAATTAACAGAAACATGCTTATGACCAACGAGTCAAGTTTGAATCCATGCAATGTACTTTGTATACGTGATCATGATCTTATAAATAGTAAACAAATGTTCTTTTTATCCTAAACGTCACACGTGTGATCAACTTTAAATTTGGATGTTGATTTGGTTCTATTGTATACATATTTTACTCGTGCTCTCGTTCTAAATTTACTGGTTTACATTATGCATATTGTTTTATATTATGCAGTTGCATATATATATATATATATGGAGATTTTAAATTTTTGTTATGAATGAAACTGTTTAGTGAAATTACCTTATTTATACCTTCATTTACAAGGTCTTGTGCCAACATGTTAATTATCCATGTTTTGCTATTGAAGAATTCATATGATTAACATTATGGTGTCATTTTCTGTCACTTTATTGTAATTTCAATAGCATTTCTACATCTATACTGACGTAGAAGTTTATTAGGACTTGAACGACGTATTAAAAATTAGTTAAGTTGAGACTAAACATAAATTGCAGGGATTAAACATTTGCTGTTAAATCGTGTGACTGTCAGTTACTTGTAAGATGTTAGAAAAAAAAAGTTACAGTATAAAATCCAAAAGGATGTAGATAAATTTTCCCTACATGTGATCCCTTCCATCCCATGCACAGACACAGGAAAAGAAAAGAAAGTGCAAGTAGTCTTCTTCATCTATGAAAAAAATAGTTTAATTAATAGGAATTATATCAAAATAAGCAATAATTTTATTACTAAATAGAAACTTTTAGATATGATAATAACTTAAGAACTGTTTATTTAAAAATGATCTGTTTCAAAACCCTTAAAATTTATAGGGCACAATAGGATTTCCCTCACTTTATTTATTAAGTTATGATTTTCACTGTAGTCATCTGTATTTTCCACTGAGTACCATGAAACTCAATCATGGGGTATACTTGTATTATCCTCCATCAAAACTAACAAAAAACCGAACGGCGTGTCTGCAACATGCTAATCAATAACGCCTCTTCAAGGTAAGGCACATGCTTTAAAAAGAACATAGAGTAATGTAAGCGAGACAACTAGTAAAAGGAAAATGAAAACCAAATAACATAAATAATAATTCAATAATGGAATATCCAAGTGAGCACAGGGATGCTAGGGTCTTATATGTTTGGGTTTGTACTCACAAAACAATGAAATTTGAACAACAAGACTAGGGAAAACAACAGATGGATGATGGGTAGAAGGTGGGGGAATGATAAGAAAGAGCAACAATGGATGAGAATTTTGTGGAATAGGTACAAAAAGGAATGGAAAGTTAGAATGAATGAGAGGGCACAGCATAGTACACTTCAGTTCCTAAACCTAAACCTAGGTCTAAGACTAAGGATCCTGTACACCAAAATCCAATAAGTTAACATCATTGGAGGAGATAGCCACGTGTCTCTCATTAGCCACCATGCTATTCGCCTGACCAAGTCTCGCCCCAAGTCTCACGCGCAACCGTCCAACCTCACGCTCAATGTTCCAAATCCTCAATGAAGACGAAGGGTAAGGACAGTAGGTTATCACGTACCCACGGTTCATGCACCCCCACAAACCCCGAATCCACGAACGGCTCAACCGAAACCGGCTCAACCTCTCGAAAGTCCCCACGCGCCAAACCGTCCCCACCCCGCCACGCTCCACCACAACAAACGCCTCCTCACTCACGTCCATCGAGCTCACCACAAACCCCGACGATGACCCCACTTCCCGCAGCAAAGCCTCCGGGCTCCAAGCATTGAAACAGACCAGCCTCACACCCGTGCACGCCACCACGAAATCACCCCCGGTGACGCGCACGCGCCCTACCGGGTCAACCAACTCCGTCAGCATGTGCCACCCCATAACCGTTTCCGGATCAGTCAACGACCCCCCAACGAACACGCGCTCCCTGCTCTCGGCGTTCCACACCTGAAAGGCCCGGCCTGCTATCCCAGCGAACAAGCCCACCCACCACCGTGCCGTTCCCGCGAACCCAACCATCACCCCGTTGTTCATCACGAAGCCCATCACGACCCGCGGCGCTTGGCTCGGCCCAGGCCTGGTGATGGTGTCAACGTAGATATCCCCGTCCAGCCTGGCAAAGGTGATGTTCGAGTTGGAGAGGACGATTCCAGCGATGGAGCGGGAGAAGGGCCCGAAGAGGTGGGCGTGGTCGGACATGTAAGTGCTGACGTGGGTGTTGGTTTCGAGGTGGAAGAGGCGCACGGTGCCGTCGATGAAACCGCACGCAAGGTGGGTGTCGGAGATGGTGAGGCAGCGGCAGATGAGGTTCTGGTGGGTCTCTGAAAGGTCAAAATGGGGGTTCGAAAACGACACCCTTCCTGTCTCGAAGTTCCTGGCCGTCCGATGCCAGTGGATGAACTCCATGTGCCACGTGTCCCTCAGACGGTACGTGCGTCGCCAGATGCGCCTAGTGAGGTGCTCCCACAGCAGATCCGACCGCGACACCTCCCGCCACGTGGAACAAACCTGCATGCACAATTTTTCAATCATCATTATTTCAACCCGAGTCCAAATGAACCATCCTAGCTGTAAGTTAAAATAACTTTCCGTTGCACGAAAGGTGCTTTGATAAATTGAGCAAGTCCCTAGAACTGTTATCCAAATATGGAAAGCGGGATAATTTCTTTTGCTTGTAATCTCACATAAAACAAAAAGAAATCATCATTTATATTTTGCTGTTTCTTTGTTAACTATTAGTGGGTAGCAATGGATGAAAGGGTGGAGAGAGAAACATTGAAGATGGCAGAAGCAGGTAGCTAAGCTAAGCTAAGCTAAGCTAGGGAGCGAGGGGGCATAGAGGTAGCATCATCCGCGTCAGGAACCAATGCATCGCAAAACAATGACATCGCCTAGCATCAGAGCAACTCGAGAATAGAAACGAGATTACTAGCTTCAAATCAACAACATTACACTAGCAGTAGCTACTTCTGCATCACTTCTCATTTAATTTTATTTATTATCATGTCAGCGTACTTATTTTCAGTTAGATACTTGAGAATCTTAGTTCATCATAACACTGCCATATACCATACTTTACGTATCAAATATGCATACGTACACACTCCCCTACGTTAAATTATTGACCGTGATCTAGCACCACCATATGATATATGTTTTTCCTATATTCTATTCAACTCCAGATGGGGAGTGTGATTGCGACACAGACAATTTAATTTGTGACTAGGGCAAGTGCCTATAGGGAAGTACAGTCTAAGTATACTCTGAGGATGTGGGATGTGTGAAAAGGTTGAGTGAGGTTGGTGTAGTCCAGCTAGAGTATGAGCTACCCAACTTGCCCTAGTAAGAAAAAAAGATAACAGCATAAATTGGTTGAAGCTAGGAAGTAGGATGAGAGTATAAGACAATTTGAATTGAGAGTGGAGATGAAGCAAGTAGTGAAAAGAAGATACAGATGAGATGATGGTTTGTAGTAGCAGTATGTGGTCCATAGCAGGGATACTGCTAGATAACGAAACTAGTCAATATCTTAGTTCCTGCTGGTGTAGGCATGTGTATAAAATGTAAACATGGTATGGAAAGCGTGCTTCCCCACAAACATTTCACTTTCATTTCCAAGAAAGGTATGGCCAAGTGCCTGTCTTGTTCCAAACACCGAATCTCTAGTTCTATCCACGCCCACAAAGACCAGTCCAAGGCAAACTCGAGTAACAAATTCTTGGTCAAACTACTCTTAATTAGTAGTTTAAGACAAGATCAAATAGACCATCCAATTAAATTTAGGATAACTACTCTTAATTAGAAGTTTAAGGCAAACAATAAATAAGATATTGCTCACTTACATAAGGGTACACGAAAAAAAATTAAAAAACTCATAGTTTTATAGGAGCATGCTTTATAAATTTAATCATGAAATTCTATTTATAAGAGGCTTTCGTACATATATTTATCCAAATAGATCAGCTTTATAGAGGGGGTGTTAGTTTCTAAGTACAACTAAAAAATATGCATGCCCCAACTCCCAAGTCCCAACTTTGTTGTGTGTGTGCAATTATCATTACGTATATAGTACATCATATGATACTAGTTTATTTATTGGGAAAGAAAGCTAAAATTATAATATAGGTGTGAACTTCCCAGATAGAAACAAAAGGAATGGAGTGTCTTCACGACAAGAATAGGGCTCCATGTGCCTTTTGGCATTATACAAATGCTGCTTTTTGACCCCATGTATACATCTCATTTGGGATTAAAGAATATGAAACCAACGACTAATCGCCGATTATTATAATATTTCAAACCCTAATGCAAAGTTTAACCTGCATCCAAAAATCATGCAACTAGTTTTTCTATTACCAGATGTAAAGAATTTTTACTATTTCTATGACTTAATGAGTCATGAAAATCTAAATCCAGATTTCCACTGCTTCGAAACATTCTGACTGAGTGGTCTTAACTGGGAAAGGTTATGTGTTTGAACACAAATAAGTGATTAGAAAAATATTATCTCCTTTCATTCTGTAGATAGATAGCTTCTGTCAATAGTCTTAATAATATATAAAGAAAAACAAATGGTGTGATATATATATATATATATATATATATATATATATATATATATATATATATATATATATATATATATATATAAAAGCAAGCAAGCAACCAACTATATATGGTAATGGGACACTTGCAAGGACGCTAGGAATGAGACACAAATAACCATTTATGCTTCCATCCTTATGTTATTGTTTAAGAAAACCCACCTTATAAAACAAAGCAAAATACTAGTATCTACATGTTTTGAGATAAAAAGGCATGCAATGGATCTTCTAGCCTAGATAGCAGGAAAAAGCTCAGTCAAAAAGGATTCATGCCAAGAAAGGGAAACAGCAAATCGAAGGCAGTGTGAGCCTTTTCATTGGTTGTGAAAAGAAGGTCCAAAACTAGACATTTTTGAAGGGTTAGAGAGAACAAACATCGCAAAGAAGAAAAATACACCCTTTTTTGAAAGGGACACATATTTGATTTGAAAAAGACCCACGTAAAGTGCTTTCAAAGAACAGTTTCTTCTAGGATGCTACAAAGCATCTACAACTTAAACCTAAATCATCACTCCTATCGCCTTATCCATTGAGTTGAATGTATGCCTCTAAAGTTTAAACAGCACAGGAAGAAAATATGCCGAAAAAACAAAAGAAACGGATATGGATATAATAGTAAAAAAAATGATGTATACACATAATATAAATAAGTTAATCAATCCATATAGAGTTGATGTTTATTAAAAATAAAAAGAATCAGCATCTGCAGGTTGCAATGCTAGATTCATGTTTGACTTGACCAATATTTTGTCCAGTTTCGGAACTGAAAAAGCTATCAGTTACACATGCTGAAGATTCTAAAAATCTTCATTTTGAGCAAATTGAGAACCCTTCATCAGATTTAGCAAACAAACACAAGCAATATGAAGAATGATTGGATATTGTTTTCAAAGCAAAAGCTAAAGGAGGGTAAAGATGGAGGGGTAAAGATAGATAAATGAAGATCAAGGCGAAGACGAAGATGATGAGGGAAAAAAGGTAAGAGGTAAAGAGAAAAAAAAAAAGTACCTGAAACAAAATGGCAAGGGCAGGACCAGCAGCAAGACGTCCATTGTAGTTGGCAGTATCAATGGCAAGTTGGTTGGCCAAAGCTTCAAGAAATGGCTCAGGCAAAACCTCATTCATAGCACGTTGACGTGAGGAAGAAGGGCCTTCAAATTGACCGGTTCTCCTCGTACTAGGGCCAGGGATATCAGGAGCAACAGCATCATATGGGGTTGAAGTTGATGATGATGATGACGAGGAAGAAGAAGTAGAAGACATGAGTGTGAAGTGGAGGGTGGTGGCTATAAAAGTGGGGAAGGAGGACCAGACCGGAAAGGAACAAGGACAAAAAGGTAGAAGATAAGGACACAAAGTGAGGGACCCAAAAGGAGGTGTCTGGGAATTCTTGGTTATATCATATGTGTCTTGTGTATCCCTATACCTCCCATTTAACTCACTTTTAAATCAAACCTCACACACACACACACTCACTTTGCCTTTTCTTTCTTCTTTTCTTTTCTTTTCTTTTCTTATATAAATAAAATATAATAACATATTTTTAACACTCTCCTCCCAGCTACTCCTTTTTACATTTATGATATTTGTTTGTGTGATTTCTGGGGAGATGTTTTCAATATAGCTATGGCAACTCAACTGCTCCCATGCTCTTCAGGTGTTTTCAAAACCTACTTACAATGTAACGTGGTGGTGGTCCTCCTCAAACTCTCATTTTTTTCTTTTCTTCCTCTTCTTCTGCTTTGTCCTCAAGTGCATTTTCGATTGCTCAAATTAATTTTCTGCTTTTAAGCTCACTTTTCCACTAGTCAATTTTTTTGGTTTTAAACTAGACTTGGCGTCTGTGTAGATTATTTCTTTTTCAATTTCTTTATGATTAAATTATCATGTGAAAGATTCCACTTGCATGAAGGTGGTTTTATCCATGTAGGTTTTGAACAATAATCAATGCAACTGTTCCACTGTTTTTTCTTTTTCTTTTCCCTCCTCACGACACCACCATACTTTGTTTTTGTCAATCATAAAGCCTTTATTATAAAAATAAAAAGAGCATGTCATATTTGTCTGCAACCAGTTTAAATAATTTTATTGTTTTCATTTAATCTTAAAACAACTAATGGATCTGACGAGTTGGCCCATTTTTACCGACAAAATGGATTAACAAACGTTTTGAATTTTCCCAACATGTCTAAGAAAGTAGATTAAAAGGGTTAATCTTGTTTTCTCACTCACATTTATAAGAAAATAAAGTAATTAAACAAATCCTGTTAAAATGCCCTGTGGTAATAGAGTGCAATATCTAGCTAGCCTTGCTTTTCAGACTTGACCGATTTTGATTCTAAAATTGCAATGAACATCATTGAACGAATGCACACACTAGTCTCTAGTGAACATGGTCTTTTCCTCTAATGGTTTCCAAGCAGAGAAAATCTTGGACGGTCAGAGCAATAAGCGCTGGAACAAAAGTGAGCGTGATTTTACTGTCCCTCATTTTTGTGCCACTATTATGACCATTTCATTCATTTACAATCATTGATATCCATTCATAATCGACTCTCTAGACTACAGAATCTAGATAGAGAGAAAAGAAAAAGTAATGTCTTCCAATCATACTTTCAATTTCTTACATTCTAATCCTATCAGTCTCAGGTGTTGATGTTGCAAGCACATGCACAACAGCAAAAAGATCAATGACTTATGCCAATGACCTTTATCTTTGTCCCCAAATGAATGCTTGAATTGGGAAAATGATCCTCTATCTTTCTCCATTTGGTTCGAGTTTTCTTTAGTGTAATGCACGGACTCATTCAACAAATATTTCCTTATTTATTGTAATGCTCCTAATTTTTTCTCTGCACCATATACTTACTCATGTTCATCACAATGAGGCTTAAATTGAATGTTGCTAAAACCTTTAGAAAGAAAAAAGTGTTGGACCTTTTTACTTATTCAAGTCCCTTATTTGACCCATTTTCTTCCCTTTTACATCATTGCAAAATCTTGGCCAAGTCAAGATTCTAATCCTATCACCTTTACCTTTTATTCTTTGAAACTTTTGAATAGAATAACGTCCTTATCCTCTGCTCTTTGTCCCCTTCAATTTTCTATTAAAGGAGAAAAATTGTTTCTAATACCAATACCAACCCTCCATTTGTCACTGCAAAAATCTATATTCTTTAATTAGTTTAAGGAAAAAAAATATATATATTTCATGGATCATTCCAGTATCCTAACCACAAAATAAACCCTCTTGTGGAAATAAATAAATAAATATATATAATTGTTTTAAAAATATATTAGCAAGGATATTTCTCACCATTTTCTTTATTACAAAATTCCTTCTTGTGATTTTCCAAATCAAAACATTTTATAACATACAAAACCTTATAGTGTTATAAGGTGGGATGTCAACATTGGATTTTCTAAATATTTGAAAATTCTTATGTGTTATAGTGCTGATAAATATAGATATAAACATTTATATAGATATAGATAGAATAAATACGAATAAAAGCTATTAAAATTATAAAAAATATAAAAAATTCAGATATTTTAAAATTTAAATAAAAATAATTAACCGGTTTTATTATTGAATCAATTATTTTATCAAAATTTATTCTATAGATAGTTTTATTTCATTCTTTATTTTTCTTTTACTCTTTAAATATTATATATATGTGTTAACCAAAATTTTCTGAACATTTGAGATTTTATAATGTGTTAAAATAAGGTGAAATTTTATCATAAAATATAAAAAAAAACTTGAAATATTGAATGTGAAAATAATTTATTGTGTTTTGAGTTAACTGTATTAAAATTGTTCTAGTTTACTTTCAAAAACATCAACATTTTTAATATTTTCCTATCATTATCATTTAAAAAGAAATTTCAAAAAGATAAAAATAGATGACATTAACATATGTTAATGTTTTCTTTCAATATTGACATTTTGTGCACTCATTCAACACAATTAAATTGGTGTATAACCAAATAAAATATCAAAGGATAAATTAATTTGCTGACAAAAAAATTATTTAATGATATCAGTAACCTCCAATTTATTCTTTATTAGGTAGAGTTAGTTGAATCTGCTGTGATCATTCACCAAATTAAGAAAATGTTGTTTTCTATTGTATGTATCGTGTTAATATGGTTCTCTAGTATCACAATGAACAGGTTTAAAAGATTGAAAATTTTCTAAGTTAGAGATACAAAACAAACTTTTTATTTTAATAATAAAGAACATATATATGACAATTGATTTCACAAGTTTTATAGTAAGTGGGTAAATGCAATTACTTATTCAAATACTATTAAAAATAAATATTTTCTTAAAGATGATAAATTATAGAGTTCTGTCTCATGTATATTTCTGGTATATGAAATATATGTCAAATTTTATTTATGTAATTTATCTATATATATAATAAAATATTAAATATTAATAATATCTCAACCTTAAATCAAAATAATAATATAATTTTTTTTTATTTTTTTCCTTAAAAAATTAATGAAATCTCTTACTATTTAATTTAAATAAAAAATAATAAAATAATATTCTAAGTATTATTACATCTTTAAAATCAAATAGTGTCTATTGAAACATAATTCACAATAAAAGAAATTTAGAAATATCTCTCACATCATAAAAAAAGAAAGATATATATATATATATATATATATATATATATATATATATATTAAATAAAAAATATGTCAAATTACAAATTATAATTAATATATTTATGTCACATGAGGAACATCATTAACAACTTTTTATTTTATTTTATATGTTATTATAATATAATTTTTAGTGAGGATAATGGATGAAAAAATTGTACTTTAGATACTTACATAAATTGTTAATAGCAAAGAAAAAAAATTACTTAAAAAAAAAAATACAATGTTTCAATGTTCTATGCTAACCTTGTCACTGTCTATGGACCAAATTGAAAGAATCTGATAATAGGACCTCATGCATATACAATTCAGAATCTTCTACAACATTATCATAATTAAATTTTTTTATAGATTATCAATTTTTGTATGATTTGTTTGTGAAGACAAATTTATATAAAAAAGCTACAATAAACAATTAAAAATAGTATAAGTACAACATAGGAGTTTGAATATAATAGTCCTGGTCTTTATTAGAAACCTAATAATTAATTTTTTTCTGTTTTTTTTTAATTTCATATAAAATAAACTACACTTCTAAAAGAGTATCTATTTTATAAGAATATTAAAGATATGTCTTCTAATAACTTTTTTAAAATATACACTATTTCCTCAAATAAATTTTTAAAACTTGTAAAATTAAGATAGAAAATCATTAAATAAGTTGTACAATTCATATTTATGTAATTTATATTAATAATTTATAACAGATAAAAAATATGTTTGTAGCATTTATCCAACTAATGTTGACCCTCCTTGGTCATGCTTATACATTTCATCTAATATTTACATAATTTTATGGAAATTTACCTTTAAAGTGAATTCTTTCTAAAAAAAGTAAACTATTAAATGATTTTTATAATATTTACTGCATGTCTATAAATATAAACAATTTAAATTTTACTATAGTTTTAACTGTTTAATTGATTGACTTTAATTATATATTTTAAGCGGAATTTAGGAAGTTTTCTGTATATATTATTTAAAAATTTCATAAGGTATTAAAATAGGTAGTTATTTTAAATAAAAATGAACTGAATATTTTACTTTTATTTAATATATATTTTCATGATTTTTTTTTCAATAACTTTTCAATTAAATAAAAAATCAATTTTAAAAAGATACTTAAAATTATATTTATTTATTTTAAAAAATAGTGATAGATTTTAAATTATTTATTTTTTATTTTGTTTATATTTATTAGCATCATAAAGGAATTCTTTATATTAAATTTAAAACCTTCTATTAATTTTTTATTTATTTTTTCTCAAATTGGAGAGCAATAATTTGTTGACACATGACTCACCTTTATTTCTTTTTTTACCAAATGAATTTTATCTTAAAATTATATATATATATATATATATATATATATATATATATATATGTTTTTTCTTTCTCATTCACACTTTTGTGTTTTTGTGAAATGAATGATGTTGTATGATTTATGTAGTCAAAATTATCTAATGGAATAAAATTTGTGTTCTTGTCCTTCATTCTAAATATTTAAAAGTTAAAATTTATAAATATAAATATATGTATAATATAATAAAAGAAAAATAAAAAATACATAGATAAATATATAA